ATTCTACATTATTTTACGAACATATCTTTCTACCTTAGTAAGAACAAAAATCGTTTTTTGTTCAATAAGTTATCAGTGATATTCATGAATTCGAACGGATTAGCTGTTAGACTATGAAATTAAGTATTCTTTATTTATTAAATCAGTCATTTAACACACAATTTGATTGATCACTCACACAAATATTTCCACTAAACTACTTTTGGTATTGCACCAAGTAGTCTTAGGCTTCCGATGATACATTTTTATGTTATTAAACAAGTAGGCTGAAAGATAAGGCCTACTACTCTATTACATCAACATTATTCAAGTTATACAAGAGTTATATGTATTTTTATATTCTGAATATGAACGTTAGTAACTTAAGTTTCCCAATATAAAATTCACCCCTTATGGACTTCTCAGGACTATCCTAGCGATTATGCATTTAGATGTACCAGAAATGAGAAATACGGTTTTCCACTAGGTTCTATGAGACCCACTACATAATGTAGAAATATGTGCAAAGACAGCCAGAATGAAAATGATTTAAAATTGGTTTATGGGAATATAAAACGTTATATGAAAATCATAATCTATGAAATCAATCTTCACTACGCAAAGCAACTACACTTATTTACTAACAGCAGCCACAAACAGTTTCGTCAGGATCTGAGCGCCATTACGCTTATCAAAACGCCGTACTCATGAATGAATTCTCACATTTTGGGACCAAAGCTTTTTTACTGCTTCACTTTTCAAACACTGAAGGGACTAATAGCGATCTTTATTTAGAACTAAGAGACTTAAAAGTTGATAGTAACGTCAATGAATGAACCACTCAATGATGTTTGTTCCCCCATGGGAAAGGATATCTTACAAAATGAAACGTTCTGTTAAGCAAAATGTTCGTTACTTTATGGTGAACCCACTTTATTCTAGAATGATAAAGGAAAAATAATATCTTGAGTAACATACGCAAAAATTGCACCCAAATGCCCTGGTATTACGGAGAGTGGGAAGGGCCCACCCTCCCTATCGAAATGCTCTCACATGGTCACGTGTATATAGCCTCTTCCAGGGAAGTCCTAGTCACTGTCTTCTCGCACCACGAGTGTTGTTTACGAAATTGAGAGGACCAAAAGCGAATGTCCGGCGCTTTAACCGGATTCCAAACCAATGGTGCACATGGGCTCCAGTATCCTGCGGGAACAAATGGTGTATGAACCAATCGTTGGTCATCCGCTACCATGGGACTGCATCTCCTTACGATGCTCCACTGCCTTGTGGATCAGACCTTCAGGTCGAAGGCTCGTGGAGTGGCCCCCTAAGAAAACCACTTGCTTCAGTTTGGGAACCCGGATAGTATCACAGCCCACACACCAATAGAATGAAATGACGATACTTACGGAAAATACTATTCTCGCTTCGATTAACAGTCAAATAATTCACATTATTATCTACTTTGTGTATCCTTACTTTTCGACTTATACAGCAGCTCGCTTATGGTGGAAACTCGGTCCTATCTAAACGTTCTCGAACCACTGCCTGGTTGAAAATTGCATGCTACCACCAAATACGAATACTGAAGCAGTTTTTCTGAAACCACGTGCACCATTCAAACTGGCTGCCTTCAACGTTCGAACACTTATGCAGGTCGGACAACAGATAAGGCTGGCTATGTCTTTGCAAAGTCGTAATATCGACGTTTGTTGTCTATCCGAGACCCGTATTCAAGACTCTGGTGAAGTACTACAAATTCGCTCTCCATCTGTCACTTCAATAAGCTTGTTTCACGTGCGCTTATCCGGGGACCCTGTGGCATCTTCGTCTGGTCTTGCTGGCGTTGGTGTCACACTAAGCTCTAGAGCTGAGGCAGCACTAGTCGATTGGATCCCCATTAACAGTCGGTTATGTGCTGTTAGATTAGAGAGTTCCATCAAAGTGAGAAGAAATCGACGTGAGAAACGATGTCTTTTCGTCATCTCCGCCTATGCCCCGACGGATTGCAGCCCGGATGCAATCAAGGATGAGTTTTACCACCAACTGTCTGTTCTTCTCCAGAAAGTGCGTTCGACAGATATTGTAGTACTAGCCGGAGACTTGAATGCTCAGGTCGGGTGTCTAGGCACAGAAGAGAGTCGTTTAGGTGGCCAATGGGGACTTGTTGGTCGCAGGACAGATAACGGGGACCGTCTACTGCAACTGTGCACAGACCACAACCTGTTTCTGGCTAGCACTAACTTTCGGCACAGTCATCGCCGATGTGCCACCTGGCGTCCTCCGTCTGCATCTCAAGCCTGGACTCAGATTGATCACATCGCGATCAGCTACCACTGGCGTGGTTGTGTAAAAGACTGCCGCTCCTTTTGGAGTACCTATCTGGACTATGATCATGCTCTGGTCTGCTCCAATCTTGCCTTACTTTTCAGTGGCCAACGAAGTGACCGCCACCAACGGATTGATGTTAGCAAGCTGGTTGCCACTTCATGACGCCATGAAAATGGAGAGTAAAGCCAATTGCGGTCCCGCTTATAAGCACTTGATTTCTTCAGGCTCCTTGCAACTCATTGAAGCCCGTCGGTCTACTCCGGGTGACCGTGAGTTTGACCATAAACGGAGGATGTTACGTAAGGAAATTGGGCAAAGCTTGCGTAAGGACCGAGAAGCCTGGTGGTTGGAGCGTGCTAATGAGCTGGAAGCAACAGCTGCATCTGGTAACTACCGGAAGCTCTTCCAACTCATCCGAGCCACTGGCAACAAGAAGTCTGGTGTGAGCGAAGCAATCTGCGAGAATGACGGGATGCCAATCACCAACATTCATCGACGTCTTGGACGATGGGCAGAATTCTTCAAAGGGCAGTTTGACTGGCCTGCTGCTCCGGCAAAACCGGTCGGACTGTTCTGCCTCCCCATTGCCAGTGACGACTGATCCACCAGATGAGGCGGAAGTCCGGGCCCAGATAACTTACCTTCGGCTCATTTTAAAGATGGTGGTGACCTTCTTGTTAAGGAACTTACAACATTGTTTACAAGACTGGGAACTAGAGAGTGTACCAACGTCATGGAACGACTCGATAGTTGTCCCTATTTTTAAAAAGAGTTCACGTCGTCCCTGTAACAACTATCGGCGGATAAGTCTACCTCCGATTGCGTCCAAGCTATTGGCTCCCGTCATACTTCGTAGATTGTTCAAAACACGAGAAAGATTGACTCACGAGCAGTGGGCTGGTTTTCGTTCTGGTCGAGGATGTATTGATCATATCTTCACCCTCCACCAAATGTTAGAACACCGTCATACTTATCACATGCCAACGATCGCAGTGTTTCTTGACATCAGGGCTGCCTTCGATTCGTTGGATAGGACTGTTCTCTGGGATTGTCTATTGAAGAAGGGTGTGTCTGAGAAGTTTATTAACATCCTAAAAGCCCTATATAAAAACACCTCAGGCAGAGTGAGGGCATACAACCACCTTTCTCCATTGTTCCATTCAAGCAGTGGGGTTAAACAGGGTTGTCCAATCTCACCATTCCTCTCCAACTTTGCCATCGACAACATTCTGGAAACAGCTCTGATGGATGTAAATAATGGTGGTGTGGATCTATTACCTCGAGAAAGACTTCTCGACCTTGAGTATGCGGATAATATTGTGTTACTGTGCGATAATGCTCAAGGCATGCAATCCGCACTTAATCAGTAGGCAATCAATGTCCGTAGGTATGGTATGTGCTTTGCACCTTCAAAGTGCAAAGTACTTCTACAGGACTGGCAGGATCGTAATCCTGTACTCACCCTGGATGGTGAGTAGATAGAAGTAGTCGAGATGCTCGTGTATCTGGGTAGCTGCATAAGTGCTGATGGGGGTGTGAGTGATGAGATCAATGCACGTATAGTGAAAGCCAGAGCGGCTTATGCCAATCCAGGCCATCTTTGGCGCCTTCGTGACGCCAGTCTAGCTGTAAAAGGTCGGATCTACAACGCGTCGATGAGAGCAGTTTTGCTCTATGCTTGTGAAACCTGGCCTCTTCGAGTTGAAGACGTCAGACGACTTTCTGTGTTCGATCATCGTTGTCTCCGAAGGATTGTTGGCATCGAGCGGCAACATCATGTTAGTAATGCAGAGGTTCGGCATCGTGCATTCGGGTGCAGAGACGACAATTCAATTGGTGTCACCATCTTGAAGCATCGACTTCGGTGGCTCGGACATGTTCTACGAAGGTCGTCTCAGAAAATTCCACGTCGTGCATTATTTGCCGACTCTGGGACTGGTTAGAAAAAACGAAGAGGTGGTCAGTGTATGACATGGTATGAAAGAAAGCTGCAAAGGGCTGGCTTTTGTTGACTCCCTGGTCGATCTCATAGAGGTAGCGCAACGCAGTGGCTAGAGACGTTATCAGATATGTCTCAGAATAGAAGCCAGTGGCGATCCTACTGTAACCTTCTTTTACTTTCTTCATAAAAAAAGTGGTTATAACTTCCTTAACTGAAAGAATTCTTCTGATTGTACCTTTCCGTTTCCTCCATTATTATCATTACTACACTACCTTACACTAATCTGTGGTCGTCATTATTCTTTTTTTCTTATACCTTCTTTCTTCTCTCCCTATTTTCATTGTTTTGTGTTGTGTATATATATCTGGTTCCCGCTTGTACCATTATTTGTGTTCAAATAAATAAATAATATGCGCAAATCTAAAGTCAGTTCAATACATTACAAGTAAAATGAATTCTATCTAATATACGCTCATGAAATCTGTTAACATTCATCTTGCTGATAGTAACATTGTAAAAGCTGGTGACTGAGTAAACAACAGTTATTTAATGTACACTGATCCTGATTTTCTTCTTGCTCACAGCATATTCATCAATGTTTTCATTAATATTCATGCTTCAATACACGACATAAAGCTGATCATACGTAGTGCAGTACTTTGATCTAATAGTTATCAATATTCTAGGCCTAATTCATTTAAATCCGTTAGTTTTTTTCCAGATATTTCCATTGCACTATTAATTTCTTGCTTAAAATGATTTATTGCAATAAGACATAAATGCTAAAAAATAACAATGATATGTGTATATACCATCTTTTAATTAATTCACAACCGATAATAATAGGAATACTTTGTTTATTAAAAATCGAGCTAATTTTTTTTTAAGAGGATAATTCAATAAATGTGTGTTACATTACCAATACGTCATGACAATATTGTAGACAAATTATTACTGTGACACAGATATACATAAAAAGGGACAAATAAAATATACCTTTACAATAAGGCTGTACAAACCTGCATACATATCATGAAGAATGTGACACAAGAAAAGGGAGAACTAGAGAGAGACAGGGGGGAAGAGAAATAAAAGTCACTGAACAATTATCAATCATATACATAAAGGAAGCACACATTGACAATTTTGAGCACAAGTGATTCGATGATTTTTAAAGAAAAAAGAAAAAAAGTCGAGAAAATAAATTAGAGGAAAAACAAAATAGAGAAAAGAAAATATATTCAAAACTGTTTCACTGAATATTGGTTAATTCGAATACAACGTTACTTAAATAAATAGTTTTTTTTTATTTAAAAAAAAAGTTTGAAACAAAAACACACTAGAAAATAGATAGATATAGATATAATTCTCTCTTTCTAAATTGTAAATGCATACACTTATAATATCCACTGACAAAATAAAAATAAGACAAATAGAGAATAAGCTGATAGTCAAAATAATAATAATAATAATAAAAATGAATAAGAAGATTATGTGTATTGTTTAAATCGAGTCATTATAAGTTTGTTTTTAACAACAGGAGACAGTATAAACACACACATATCAAAACTTGACTTAGATTATTGCTTTTATGCGTACACAAATGATTCAAAAACAGATATTTCCACACACATAGAAAAATATCTATCATAATTTTACCAAAATACGATTATTCATATTCATATTCATGCATCACCAAGTGCTGGTCTAGAGTAGACAACATCTAAACGAAAAATATGAAAAAAAAACACAAGAACAATAGTTGAGATACATATACGCCACACAAATCTCATTTGATATATGTGAGGGTTGTGATACTGCTCAGGTGCCCAAATCGAAGCAGGTGGTTTTCTTGGGAGGCCACACCCAGAGCCTTCGACCTGAAGGTCTCATCCACAAGGCAGTGGAACATCGTAGGGAGATGCAGTCCCATGGTAGCGGATGACCAACGATTGGTTCATACACCATTTGTTCCCGCAGGATACTGGAACCCATGTGCACCATTGGTTTGGAATCCGGTTAAAGCGCCGTACATTCACTTTTCGTCCTCTCAATTTCGTAAATAACACTCGTGGTGCGAGAAGGCAATGAGTAGGACTTCCCTGGCAGAGGCTATATACACGTGACCATGTTAGAGCATTTCGAGAGAGAGAGCGAACTCTCCCCACTCTCGGCCGTACCAAGGCATTTGGGGTGAGATGAGACAAGTAAAAAAAAACAAAGACAAACTTTCAAAGTTATTTTCAAGATATCATTACACCTATTTCATAATGTAGCATTTAATTCATTTAAATTTCTACATTTCCCAAATTAAAGGGTGTCATTTCAATCATTAATTGGTGTCCTATCGTACTCTGTTCCCAAAGTACATCAGATTAAGCATACGAATATTATTACTGCTTTCCAAATTTATGTTCTATGTTACATACTATTTCTTATTTGTGGTGTGTTTTGATTTTATAATTCATGCATTAAATTAAATGAATTTTCAAGCCAGAGATATAGGGATAAGATCAAGTGTTGGACTCCCGTATGTTCATTGGACCTTGGAGAACAGAAAATTTATTCTGACAGTGATTGTTCACTTAGCGAATTCATTTAGTCAAGATATTAGTAAACGGTTAACAAAATTGAATCTAAATGTATTTCATCACCAAGTAATAACATATGGTGAGCCATATTATATCATATTTAGGACATTACAAGTGATCACTATCGTTAAAACAGTTGGGAGCACATAGATTCAACGACAGTAGTTGATAAAAAATTATAATAAACTAACATTTTATTTACTTGAAAAGTTTATATTCATGGGTATGAAAATCACACCACTACTGTCAAGTAAATATGAAGTCATAATCGCCTCCCTACTTCTTTAAATTACTAAGATAAATTCTAATGAAATGATTTCCTTTTTTGTTGGTTCAAGCTTACTGATTTTAAATATTTCTGATATTTTATGAAGTGCATATGCCATCAAAAAATGTTTATAAATATTGTAATAACAAGGTAAAAACTTGAGCGTTTTTTTTTTCAAAAAAGAAAGCAAGCATTCAAATGAATAGACTAAAGAGATTCCGAGAAAAAAATCCACTTTATAAAGTAACTAATATACCGACAGCCTAAGATAGGCTCACTTGAATAACAAACAGTATACTAACACAGTTGAGATCAGTCAGTTTAGAATGAGTACTTAGAAGACTCAATAACTGGAAAAATGTGATAACAATATGAATGCAGTCAAACGAAAGGAGTTGACTGTAAAAAAAATGAACTCAAGTACTTTCTACAGGTGAACAGGCGATTACCACCTTTAACCTAACCACTCCTATGAATCCGGTGCATATATGTGCCTGGTCCTACGTTGTAGCTGACTGACTGACTGAATTCAATACACCGTAAAACGACGCCTCTTCTTGAGATACCTAAAAATGAAAACTGAACTACTAGTTATCTTCACGCTTTGAGGCATGATCAAAGAGCACAAAGAACAATTGTTTGAGGCCTACAATATACATTCTTTTCGCGTGTACTTCTTGATAGGTTAGCTCTGTACTTTAAATGCGTTACCACAGAAGACGGGAACCCATAAGACAAGTGTTATTTGTAGGACTGACATTTTCTAACTCACCGCTGCAGACCACGATTACTTGAAGAAAACATCTCACTACCAACACACCCCTTAATACAGTCAGCAGTACGAAATTCGCCGTCGGAACCTGAAGTTCTGCTTTCTTCAATGAACCAGTCTGATATTGTAGTATCTAAAGGAATAAGTTTTGCAACCAATAAAGCTCGATGAATCATCAAGATAAGCCAACCCAACCACGTTAAGTTAGCAACTATAATCAGGAATATCGATCCACTTTTTAACTCAGTGACTAATGGGGCTCATTAGTGGGGCAATTATTTTAGAAAACGTTTTTTTTAGAAAGAAATCGGAGTGATGCACGAAATCAAAAGATGACTGTTGATGATAACAACAAAGATTACAGGATTTATTAGCATAAATACAAAATGATTGGAAAGACAACATATGAGCTTCATATAAAAGGATAGACAATAGTAATGTAACAACTATCAACTTATATATCAGGCTTTAAATTTTACGTTGTACGAACACCTTAGTGGTTGAAGCAATTGACGGTTATCCACTGGCCTGAAGGTTTGAATTCTGCCCCGCTTGTATCTCATGGATAGCTAGGGTAGCATAAACTAACCTTCACATAAAGTAATTAAAAAGCTAGGTACTTGGTTACTTTAATCTTTATATGAGGAGTAAATAATGTTGTTTGACTGGAGAAAATGTAGTGGTAGAAAGTCAAGTAACTAGACTACTGAGTAACAACTCAAGTGCAAAACGCAAATGTACTTGTGAATTCGTTTTTCACCTATTCTAAGTAACAGTGACCAAAAGTAGAGTCACACAACAGTAAAAACGAGGTATAATAAAAAAAAATAAAATCATATTCTCGGGAATTTGAAACCAAGCAAACAGAATACAAAAACGCACCTGTGTTAATATGAGCGAATTGATTCTTCACGAATTTTTCTAACTGCTCTCCAGCTAACCAAACGTCTGAGTCAGCAGCATTATACAATTCGGCGTTATAAAACATAGTACCTAAATCATGTACTAGTTTCTTCAGTCCTGCGTTGGTAGATTCCGTGTTATACCGTCCTTCAGAAAGCCAATCACGCATCATGGACAAATCGATAGGATCTGTGATAATTTCGTAATAATCGGGAACCTAATGGGAATAATGAATCCAGTTGATAATAAATTGAAACGACATGAATGATAGAAAACTCCGCCCGGAGTTCCTCCGGGGGCTACTGCCGGTCCCAAGCCCGGATAAAGGAGGAGGGTCAAGCATGGGGTTAGCGTCCCCATCCCGTAGAAAACTAACTCGCTAAAAAAACGCTAACCAGAAAAAATTATTCAAACCTTTTAAACTCTGCCCCGGGAGTCAGGTCTTCATCTAGAAGAACTATGACGCCTCATGATGAAAGTCGAATTCCTTCGGAAGTTACGAGGCCGATGCCCCTTCTGACAACCAGAGCAACTACTTATTTAGGTACATGGAATGTTCGTACAATGTGGGACACCGGGAGAGCCTTCCTAATTGCTGCAGAAACGAGGAGATACAACCTGGAGGTGCTTGGGATCAGTGAAACACATTGAACGCAAGTTTGACAACAACGACTAACTTCAGGAGAGCTTCTGTTATACTCCGGCCATGAAGAAGAAAATGTTTCACATACACAAGGAGTTGCATTGATGCTGTCCAAACAACTACGAAATACACTTATAGGATGGGAATCTCATGGACCAAGGATCATCAAAGCCTCATTCAAAACAAAGAAAGAGGGCATTTCAATGAACATCATCAAATGCTATGCACCTACCAACGATTACAATGAAGACGCTAAAGATCAATTCTACAGTAGGCTGCAGTCAATCATCGAGAAGTGCCCAACAAAGGACCTGACCATTCTGATGGGAGATTTCAATGCCAAGGTTGGAACGGACAACACTGAATATGAACGGACAGAGAGAAAGGAACGAAAAATGGTGAGAGATTTGCAAACCTATGTGCCTTCAATAAACTGGTCATAAGGCGGCACCATATTCCCACATAAACGCATTCACAAAACCCCATAGACTTCACCGGATCACACCACGCAAAACCAAATCGACCATATTTGTATAAACAAAAAGTTCAGGAAGACGATGGAGGACGTGCAAACCAAGAGAGGAGCTGATATAGCATCAGATCATCACTTGCTGGTCGCAAAGATGAAATTGAAACTTAAGAAGCACTGGACAACGGAGCGGACAACGTCACAAAATTCAATACGGCCTTTCTTCAGGATACCAACAAATTCAATATAGACCTCAGCAACAAGTTCCAGGCCTTTCATGATCTACTCAATGGAGAAGGAACTACTATGGAGAGCAACTGGAAGGGGATCAGAGAAGCAATCACTTCAACATGTCATGAGGTTCTGGGTCACAAGAAGCACCATCACAAGGAATGGATCACTGTTGATACACTGGATAAGATTCAAGAAAGGAGGAACAAGAAAGCAGCAATCAATACCAGTCGAACAAGAGCAGAAAAAGCCAAGGCATAAGCTGAATACACAGAAGTAAACAAACAAGTGAAGAGGAGCATAAGAACCGACAAACGTAAATATGTAGAAGATTTAGCAACGACGGCGGAAAAGGCTGCAAAAGAAAAAAACATGAGACAACTGTATGACATGACAAACTCTCTGGAAATCGCCGCAAACCGGAACGACCAGTGAAAAGCAAGGAAGGCGAGGTAATCACTAACATTGAAGAGCAACGAAACAGGTGGGTAGAACACTTCAAAGAACTCTTGAATCGACCAGCCCCACGGAACCCACACAACATCGAAGCAGCACCTACGGACCTCCCAACCAATGTTGGCCCACCAACAATTGAAGAAATCAGCATGGCCATCAGACAAATCAAGAGTGGCAAAGCAGCAGGACCAGACAACATTCCAGCAGAGGCACTGAAAGCAGACGTAGCGGCAACTGCAAGGATACTCCACATTCTCTTCAATAAGATATGGGATGAGGAACAAGTACCAAAAGACTGGAAAGAAGGATTTCTGATCAAAATACCGAAGAAAGGTGATCTCATCAACTGTGATAACTACAAGGGCATCACTCTTCTCTCAATACCGGGAAAAGTCTTCAACAGAGTATTGTTAAACAGGATGAAGGACTGCATAGACGCCCAACTTCGTGACCAACAGGCAGGATTCCGTAAGGATAGATCGTGTACAGACCAAATCGCAACTCTACGGATCATTTTGGAGCAATCAATTGAATGGAATTCATCACTCTACATCAACTTCATTGACTGCGAGAAAGCATTTGACAGCGTGGGCAGAACAACACTATGGAAACTTTTCCGCAACTACGGCGTGCCTCAGAAGATAGTCAATATCATACAGAACTCATATGATGGATTACACTGCAAAATTGTTCATGGAGGGCAGTTGACAAAGTCGGTCGAAGTGAAGAACAGTGTTAGGCAAGGTTGCTTACTCTCACCCTTTCTCTTTCTTCCGGTGATCGACTGGATCATGAAGACGTCAACATCTGAAGGGAAGCACGGGATACAATGGACATCTAGACTTCGCAGATGATCTGGCCCTTCTATCCCAAACACAACAACAAATGCAGGAGAAAACGATCAGTGTGGCAGCAGCAGTAGGTCTCAATATACACAAAGGAAAAAGCAAGGTTCTCCGATACAACACAGCATGAACCAATCCAATCACAATTGACGGAGAAGATTTGGAAGATGTTAAAACCTTTACATATCTGGGCAGCATCATTGATGAACAGGGTGGATCTGATGCAGATGTGAAGGCGCGAATCGACAAAGCAAGAGCAGCATATTTACAACTGAAGAACATCTGGAACTCAAAGCAACTATCAACCAACACCAAAGTCAAAATTTTCAATACAAATGTCAAGACAGTTCTACTGTATGGGGCAGAAACCTGGAAAACTACGAAAGCCATCATCCAGAAAATACAGGTGTTTATTAACAGTTGTCTACGCAAAATACTTCAGATCCGTTGGCCGGACACTATTAGGAACAACCTCCTATGGGAGAGAACAAACTAGATTCCAGTGGATGAAGAAATCAGGAAGAAGCACTGGAAGTGGATAGGACACACGTTGAGGAAAACACCCAACTGCGTCACAAGACAAGCCCTCACATGGAATCTTCAAGTCCAAAGGAAAAGAAGAAGACCAAAGAACACATTACGCCGAGAAATGGAATTAGACATGAAAAAGATGAACAAGAATTGGATGGAATTAGAAAAGGAGTTCCAGGACAAAGTGGGTTTGACAATGCTGGTCTGCGGCCTATGCTCCATTAGGAGTAACAGGCGTTAAATAAGAATGATAGAAACTAACAAAAATCACCGAAGATACAAACGAACTTTGTAGGACGAAAGCTGTGAGTACTGTCATATACAGGATAAACTCAGTTATCACAAAGGTACACGGTAAAAGATACATGTGAGGAAGCTCTAATAAGTGAATTATTAAACCAGTCCTTTTCATATCATCGACTAGTTTATTACGAGATCTCACAAATAGACACGAGTTCAGCATATAATTCGGCTTTGACAGTAAAGCATCGAACCTAATCTATATCTTCTATCTTCCCATACCTGGTTCGTCAAGAATCAAGTACATCAGAGTGAAAGAATCAAACCATAAAAAACAACAATGTTGTTTCTTTAATCAAAAAACAATCTCTTTAAGGAGTAATATGAAAACTAACTTTTTTAGAAGACCTTTGAAAAAAATTAATGGAATGAAAAGGTAATACTTATACTTCATTCCACAACAAGCTTTCCCATAACATATTTAGAATAGTAATATTGAAATGAAATATGATTGTGGCTTTAACTGGTACACAAACCACTTGGAAACGCACAAGACAACAGGAGCTCGTGAACTTGTATAATGTAAATGCATTTTATACTAAGTAAATTAAAAACCACTGATGACGAAAAGATGCATGGAATTGGAAGCCAAAAAGAATGCCTATAATCAAAGGGAAACATTCAAAACGTTACCTGGCTTCTATCAACAGGTTTTCTGAATGGCCATGAGTGTTTGTGTTTATACACAGCATCAAGAATGTGTGAACATAAAGATTGAGACTTTTCGTCCATTTGTTCTGTTTCTGAAGTATCCTCCTGATCAGATAAGTGTCGTCGTCTACGTTTTGGATATTTATTTAGTTGTGAACTAAGAGCAGACGCTGATCGTGAAGCACTACGTCGACGGGAAATTGGGCGTTGATTATTAGAGCGGATATCTACATCTGAAGATGCTTCACTCGATTGTTGTTCATCATCAGTGTCAGACATTGCGATATTCCTTCGAGATCTATTGTTACTTCGTGTTGAACGAGTAAAAGATGTACTATTTAAAAATTCATCTTCGCTACGTTCATCTGGACTGACAGCTCGTTTCTTGAAAATTGCTTGATAACTATAGATAAATAAATGAAAAAACACGGAATATGGAACGGAAATATAAGCAGAAAAAAGTGAGTGAAATAAAAATTAGTGGACTGATTTTTAGTTCACACCAATGAATTACAGAAATGAAAAAGAATAATTAGTTTACATTTAATTGATTGGTTGGACCTTTTATCTTACAAAAAAACTGTATTCGTAAATTTGGTTTTAGCTAGTGAAACAAGGTGATATTCTGGTTACGAAACGATAAGTCATATAATCGATAGTTATAATTCCATACATTAGTGAATTTTAGATTAATAAGGTGATTAATGTAATGATGATATACAATAGTACTCACGTTTTCCGACGATAATCTCTGCTTTGAAAATAAGAAGTAATAGTAGAACGTTTTTTATTCGACCGGCAAACTGAACACTGCCAACCATCTCCACGTGGAATATGGTGCAATGGGGGATCATGACAGTCCAGATGGAATACATTGGGACAGTTGGAACATAGAACCAAATCACCAATTGAATCTGAACAAACAAGACAGGATGTATCATGTCTGATATTTCTAGATGAAACTGAAGAAAATAAATACAGAATTAATATCAATCAAAAACACAGAATATAGACAGTTTAAAAAGGAAATTTTACCTGAATTGCGATTGGCTGGACTAACTGAACGTTTTATATTGAACGCACTTGAGTCATTACCGCCTTTGCATCGAAATGAACGGGGATTTCGACGTTTGATTTTTTGAGTAGCTTCACTTTCGCCACTACTTTCTTCATTATTATCAGAATTTAATTGTTCTTCATCATCAGATGACAAAGCACGTTTTCGTCGTCTTGCAGACCGAGCTAAACGTTCTTCACGCTTACGCTTTTCGAGGGCACGAGAGGCTGGTCCACAAGTCGGGCAGAACCAATCACCTGTTGGTACACGTTTTAATGGTGGACGTAAACAGTAGAGATGAAAAGCAAGATTACAACCGTCACAAAGTAGTAAATTATCATCATCTGTTTTCCGACGACAAATACGGCAGCGCGCATCTTCCACTGACTTTTCCCAGCGAACACATGCATCCAGACAAGCCTAGTTATAAAGAAGCGAATGCGAATCACATTAAAAGGGACAAGAATTTTTTCATCATGCAAAATATTAACCGCCCGAGAAACGGAGTTTAAAATTCCCGGTTAGTAGACAGAATGTTTGTTGAATAATTGGAATTTTTGAAAATATACTGCTTAGGTATTGAAGATAACTTATTATTGTTTGGTAAAACTATAAAATATTTTGTCATGAATGCTTGATATATTACAGATAGAATTTATCTGAGTGTGAACAATCGGAATATATGATTGACACTGCACAAAGCAGGTTAATCAGGACTCAGTGAACACTAAGTACCTAATCATCCACGAGTGATTTGGAGATACGCATCAGTACTTAAAACAAAGCAAAGAATGGACTGTGTATGTTCATAAAAAGGATAGTATCTGTTTGTTAGTATAGTATAACAATGGACATAGCCTTAGTTATTTGCAAAATACGCATTTTGATGTATTGATAATAATCAGACGGAAAAATAATTTTACTAAAGAAAAAACACATCAGATTTAAGAATAAACAAATCCCAAACGCAGATGTACACTTCAAACATCCCTTGTGCAAAACTATTTACAAGGTTGTATGAACAAAACCACTAAGTGACCGGTTGGTTGAAATGTGTGAACTAGTGTGTTAACGCTACAAAACCTTTTTATATATCGAAAGAAGATAGTAACACAAGTTAATATTAGGATGAAAACATTTTAAAAATGTTCAATAATAATAATCACTTTATTATCAAGTACATAGCCCCCAAATGTCCTGGTACGGCCGATAGTAGGGAGAGTCCGCCCTCCCTCTCGAAATGCTCTCACATGGTCACGCGTATATAGCCTCTGCCAGGGAAGTCCCACTCACTGCCTTCTCGCACCACGAGTGTTGTTTACGAAATTGAGATAACGAAAAGCGAGTGTCCGGCGCTTTAACTGGGTTGGTAGATACGGAGAGTCCATCTAGGGGAGTTGGAAAACCCTGACTCCAAACTAATGGTACACATGGGCTCCAGGATCCTGCGGGAACAAATGGCGTAGGAACCAATCGCTGGTCACCGGCTACCATGAGACTGCATCTCCTGATGATGCTCCACTGCCTTTTGGATCAGACCTTCAGGTCGAAGGCTAAGGTTGTGGCCCCCTAAGAAAACCACTTGCTTCAGTTCGGGCACCCGGACAGTGTCACAGCCCTCATACAAACCAAATGAGGTTTGTGGCGCATATGCATCTGGTGCCTCCTTGTACCAATATCAATGTGTTCAAATAAATATATAAATAATAAATAACCAAGTACATAACCCCTGTGATAAACTACTGTTGTCTTTTACTAGGTAATAGGGAAAACCAATTTATTGTTCTATGCAAAATTACACAGTGACTTAGTAAAATATGAAAATCATACATAAAATACATCATCTGCACATCTATCTTGAGTTGTCCTTTACATCATCAATCATACTCCTAATCCTGTAGTTATTCCATTTGCTCTCTGTTTCTTTCCTCTCCTCTTCTGCTGATAAGTATTTTACTTCTAATCCCTGCTACATACTACATATGTCTGTCCGCATAAGTAGCACACACTTCAACTATTCATTAGTCTCTTAATTAGCTCAACTGAACTGTGTAGAATTGATATGAACTTATAACTCAATAAGTTTAACTTTGATTATCCACAACAATAAAATTAAAGCAAGATATAATTAAACTAAATCGAGCTTTCCACAGAATTACATGTAAGAGATTTAATCGGGTCAGTGTACGAGCATTTTGAACTTCAGTGCGCCAAGCTGTCATCCAAGCACGGGTTCGTAGTTCATGAGCTTCAGGGTCTAAAACAGCTTTCTCCAGTTCCTGTGAACGATCATTATTTTCAGATGCGTCTGAATCTTCTCCAGATGAAAATCTACAAAATGGTACATGATCTGGAAAAGAAGTTTTTAGATCATGACAATCATTTGTTCCATTTTGATTAGAGTCGAATTTTGAGTTGGTGCAAAGATCAGGAACGTTTAAAAAGCGAGGTATTATATTTTCAGCTACTTCAATAAGAGCCATAGCAAGTCCTGCTTTATTTGGTAATTCACATAGACTGGATAAAGCTGACAGATTTGGTTTTGAAGACAAATTTACATTAAGAGTTTCTTGTTGGATTCCATAGGATTCTTGTATTTGTGCTAAACGCTCTTGCCATTTTGTAAAATCTGGTACACCACCGAGACCACCAGATCTTAGACGAACCTCAGTATCTAAAATATTCTGAAAATAAATAAGAACTTCTGATAGAGACTATTTACATAATGTCAATATATTGCAGACAAAATACAAATGTTAGAGACAATCCACTTATCAACCGATAACTTGATTAGCAAAGTACAGACAGTATTACGTACAAAATGCTAGCAATCTGAATTCATAGTCACGTGTCTAAGACCTTGAATAGAATTGGTTTCTTTACTTCTTTTTCAAATGACGTAATGACTCAATAGGTAGAATTTATTTACTTGACCTATTGTGGACTATTCGTGCCGTACATCAAGCGCATTCGTTAACACATAGCTCCGCGGTACAATATTTCATTTTTTCAAATGGATTAGCATTGATAATACAGTATTTCTAGTGACCTTTTCGGAGATTTTTGTCGATTGTATCTCAGCAGAAATAAATATTACATAAGAGTTCTGACGCTTCTCCACATTAATCCCAGTTAAACTTAACTTTAAATATATGACAAACGAAAAATCTATGTTTTTCGGCCGTGTATATATAATTATTGCACTGAACACTTTGGTGATGAAGCCCTTTAATAGACTTGGTCCACAATGTAAGCACGTTCGGACTTAAATTTTCTCTTTTTAAACTCAAATTGCTTTAGGACTGGTTTGAGTTAACATCTGAACTAATGATGGGAAGTGAAGTAGTTGAGTGCGTCGATGTTCGCCTTTCAGCCAGGTTCAGGTTCCGATTCCACTCTACATATCTTGTTATAGGGAACCAGATGGTATCATTAGCACTGTTATCCAGATAACCTGTGTAGAAGCTAATAATAAAGTTGGTACCTGAAGAATTGTCGACAAAGATTCCGAAAGATCGGTTGGACTGTTCCAACTTGCGGAGTAGGCAAAATGTCCTTTCGCTAACGTAAGGGCGAGTTAACTGGGTTCTAGTCTATGGCTATGAAACAGTACATAAATACAGAAGACATGCGCCGGCTGCAGGTTTTTGACTGCAAGTGTCTTCGAGATATTTCTTTCACGCCGTGGAGCGAACGAGTAGGCAATATTGAGGTAACTGAGATGTGTTACGTATGCTGAATCAACCACGACCTCGACACTTAATGTTGGCGAATGTTGTAGTATGCTGAAAGAAAGCTAACGACAGACAAACCAAGAAATTTATCCGTTTACGAAGTCATTGGCTGCTGGACTGAGTCATGTAGATAGATGGAGATTGCCAGGTTGGGGACCACGCGCTTGTCATAACCAGTGGATAGAAATAGGGTGGCGCAGATGCATTCATCCCTTCCACTAGAACCTGAGACCCGAAACCTCGTACTTTTTTGGCCCACACCTAATTTTTTTTCATTACTACTGATACTAGTACTACTCCTTTTATCACTCTAACATTTATCTTGGTAATTTTATCTCAACGTCCTTATGTAGTATGGTAGCTTGAGCTGATGTAAGTGTATCGCGTTCTACGGTGCATATGAGACTAACAATGAAAACCTATCACATATAAATTATGACAAAATTATTTGAAAAATACACCATTTTATGAATTTGTATCCACTAATGAATAAAAAACAAACATAAGTAACATCTTCCATTAATATAATCACATATTAAAAGTAATCAAACTTACTTTCAACAATGCACCTGCCAAAGCGGCTCCAGCAGGAAGATCGCTATAATAGAAAAATATTTTACATTTCTGTTAATCAAAGAAAACTTAACCATTACAAATTAAATTGAAATTGTGTAAAATTAGTTTCCTCGATCGTCATTGCTACCTTGACGTGGTGGTCGAACTTGCCTATCGTGATATAACAATAGGACTATACTGGCTGGAACAATCGCTCCTCAAGGTCCTACCATGCCAGGCAAGTCAGTTGATGAACGGTAAGATTGAAAGCAGCAAACCCGAGGTCTGAAGGCGAAGTCATACTGCTGACTGTACAGAGGCATGACGGCAGTAAGGTGTTTCTTTCAGAAAACCAGTATGACAGCAGTGCTGTCTTCCCACAAAGGAAGGGTGGAGTTAGAATAGATCGACCCTAAAAATGCATACCCCTCCTTATTCCACGGATATCAGTCTCCGAAGGTAAGGTCTCAACAAGAACGGAGCTAATACGGAGACTGCCCACGAAAAGATAGTATGTGACCGACCTCAAGCAGTTGTCCGTTTGGCACTGCGATCACGCTCTCAGGTCACTAAAACCAACTCTAACCCAATTTCCCTCGTCAAGGCTGTCCACTTTCCCAATTTTTGTTTAACTTTATCATGCACATGCTGATGGAAATAACGCTCTCATCGACTGAATTTTCGGGCATTGGTCTCCTACCAGGATGTCCACTTATCGACTTAGGATATGCAGATGATACAGTCCTGTTTGGTGAAGACGCTGATAAAATGTAGTCTTTTGATAGCACTGAGCGACAATGCCAGGATTTTTGGGATGCGCTTCTTCCCCTCTAAACGCAAGTTGTTGCTTCAGAACTGGTCTATGTCAACACCTGAACTGATGATAGGAAGTGAAGTAGTCTAATGCGTTAATAACTTCACTTATCTTGGAATTCTGCTCAGCCCTAATGGGCTGGTGTCCGACGGAATCTCTACACGGATTCGGAAAGCTCGTTTGGATTTTGCCAACTTACGTCACCTATGGCGAAGGCGAGATATGCGTCTTTCAATAAAAGGTCGAGTATACTGCGCTACAGTCCGTTCTGTTTTAACTTACGGCAGCGAAACATGGCCATTAGGAGTAGAAGATAGTCGTAAGCTACTAGTATTTGACCACAGATGTCTTAGAAATCTTGCCAGCATCTGCTAGGATCACCGGGTAAGTAATAGTGAGGTTAGACACAGAGTATTAGACATTGATGCAGTTGTCCGTTTGGCACTGCAATCACGCTCTCGGGTCACTAAGATCAACTCTAACTTAATTTCATTTTCAGATACCTCCAGATGAACCTATCCACGGTGTGAGCAACCGGGAAGTGATAACCGTCCTTATACCTCTGACAGCACTCATGACCACTGTATTCATGATCAACCTCCCTCTTCAACTCCTATTATTCCTCCTACATCGACTTTCAACTCTGAACTTCTTTCGGCTTCCTCTTCAAGTGTCACCATGTCCAACGATTCTAGTGCGCAAAACACTGTCCCAGGTCTACTGAAACTTCGCTCCAAACTACACATTGGGGCCTTCAACGTACGCACCCTATGTCGAATCGGTCAGCTGGCCTTCTTGGCTAAAACACTAGAATCTCGTATCATTGATGTATGCTTTGTCTCCGAAACACATATACAGGACAACCGGGAAGTGATAACCGCCCTTATACCTCTAATAGCACTCACGAACACTGTACTCATAGACTGACTGAAAATTAGGGTATACCACAGCAATCAATCAGGTGAACTCGAAGCTTTCAAACAAATCCTCATCAACGGGCATTGACTACGAAGGATAAACACCAAGCTACTCAAGAACGAAGAAAAAAGACAGAATTACTCCTTAGTTTTAGCATGTCATAGCTAGACTGTTTTCCCTTTTCATATTAGACTTTTGGGACGTGAAATCAAATAGAACAAATTGTACTGATAAATTGTTGTTTTAACTCGAGACTGCATAGACTGTTGTTTCGCCAATTAAGCAACTGATAAACGACTACAAGTAATACAATTTGCCAGAACCCGTATACACATGCACAGACTTAGTTACTAGTGCCCTATAAAATGAATATTAGATTAGAAAATAGTTTTAAAATAGAAAAATGACAGGAAAACTCTTTTTGTAGAAAATGCAAAACGTTTCGGATAACTAAACTTAAATTTTATGCTTCATATAATTAGTCCCTGTACAGAAATTTGAATAAAGCCAGAATAATACGAGTTCTTTTTACTTCATGGTTTATCATCAGCTATTTACAACTATATCCGTATTGAAGTAAAATATTGAAACGTGTTGATATTTAAAATAATTATTATAATATTTAACGTTAATGCTGAAAAAAAATGAAAAAAATAGATAACTAGCCATGGGACCATAAAAGATCCAAAACTTACCGTTTATGATGAGATGGATGTTTTTCTACATTTATAGGAGTACCATTCGTTGTGTCAGCTTTAATTACCAATTCATTTGAGAGACCACTTCTCCATCTTTTTTTAAGTGATTCCAAAAATCCATCTGCCAATAACTGACTTTTTAAATGACTTTCTCGAACACCGTGAGTTAGCAATGAATTTAACAATTCATCTAACTGTTCAGGACGGTCATAAAAATACCAATTACTCCAGGAACTTGAAATGGTTCCACTGTTCAATGTGTCATTTTTTACAAAATCATGAGCAGGTTGTGGTATTGTTTCATCATTCAAAGTGGTAATTGGGACAGATTCATTTTCTACAAACAAAAAGCGTGCCAAATCCAAGATTGTAAGGAGAAACTATAAATAGGTAAATTGCAGTAAACCACTTAAATGTATCATATCAATACGTAAATTGCCCCTAAAGGCCCTGGTACGGCCGAGAGTGGGAAGAGTCAGCTCTCCCTCTCAAAATACTTCCACACGACCTCGACTATACATCCACTGTCAGGATCCTAAGGAAACAAATGGTGCATGAACCTATTGTTGGTCATCGGCTACCATGAGACTATATCTCCTAGCGTTGCTCCACTGCCTTGTGGGTTAGACCTTTGGGGCAAAGGCTCGGGGAGTGGCCACCTAAGAAAATCACCCGGGCAGTATCCTAGCCCTCACACAAATCATTCGATTTGTGTGACACATATATATTTGGTGCCCCTTTGTACCAATAAATAAATAATTATGTAGATTAATATATTAAGGAAATATTAATTACTTCTAAAGGAATCAACCGAATACATGATACTTGAGGAAGCCCAATTAGCCTCCAAAAACAAACGATCCGGAGAACAACGGAAATACCAAACACGACGATAATATCTATCATAACCAATAGGGTTGTTTCGTAGAACACATTTTGCTTCTGTAGACCGAATATCATGAAGTCGACTAACTGTATTAATTGCACGTTCTTCAGCATGTTCTTGAGCCATTTCCAGACGGCGTTGACGTTCCAGATTTTCTTTTTCTTCCTTTTCTATTGCTGCTCGTGCAGCTAGAATTCGTCTGCGTTTTACAATTGATGCTAAGTCATCTGAAATAGTCAACAGTTACAGTTTAAAGTGTTTGCTTCACATTTATTTTAATAAGATATGTAAGTCATATGTTCTATTACGCTGTGATTAATCCTTATTTTTTCATTTAAACAAGCGAGTAAATCATTTTTAGAAACAACTTACTTTCAGAATCTGTGATATCATCAGCAGTAGCGGTAGGAGTGTCTGCTTTAGACTTCGACTCATCAAGTTGATTGGTAGATAAATTATTGCTATTATTATTATTACTGGTTTTGTTAGCTTCATTTGCATTATCTTTTTTGTCTTTTTTTCGTAAGTTTTTATCACGTAATACCTGAATTTTCCTTTGCCAAGCATCAGCTGCACGACGTTGACATGCCATAATATGATCATCTATAAGATCAAGATCGAAAATTTTATCCACTGCCCATTCCAATGCTATTACACGTATTTCTGGAAATAGTTCATGTAGATCAGAGTTGGATAAGTGGTGTATAAGTTGTGTCACAGGAGAATTCTGGTCAAATGGCTAAAAATTTGAATACAAAATGAGTAGTATTCTAGATATACACTCAATCGAAAGTGATTATATAAAAAAATATATACAAAGAAGGCAGTATTTAAAATGAAAACCGTGTTTCCTTCCAGAGCAGAGTAATGTGATTGTGAGAGGAAGGTAGGGAATATTATTCGTTGTAGTTGAAATTCGTCAGCTGGATTTGTCTGCATCTCAGTGTCCATGTTTAAACCGTACTTCCCTTTGCAAATAAATAATTTGTGAAAAATATTAGTCTAAATCCCTAAATAAAAATTCTTGCACTTTACTTTGAGGTCAGTCAGTCAGTTACAACGTAGGACCAGGCACATCCATACATCAGTCTGGCAAGATTTCTAAGACATCTGTGGTCAAATACTAGTAGCTTACGACTATCTTCTACTCCTAATGGCCATGTTTCGCTGCCGTAAGTTAAAACAGAACGGACTGTAGCGCAGTATACTCGACCTTTTATTGAAAGACGCATATCTCGCCTTCGCCATAGGTGACGTAAGTTGGCAAAATCCAAACGAGCTTTCCGAATCCGTGTAGAGATTCCGTCGGACACCAGCCCATTAGGGCTGAGCAGAATTCCAAGATAAGTGAAGTTATTAACGCATTAGACTACTTCACTTCCTATCATCAGTTCAGGTGTTGACATAGACCAGTTCTGAAGCAACAACTTGCGTTTAGAGGGGAAGAAGCGCATCCCAAAAATCCTGGCATTGTCGCTCAGTGCTATCAAAAGACTACATTTTATCAGCGTCTTCACCAAACAGGACTGTATCATCTGCATATCCTAAGTCGATAAGTGGACATCCTGGTAGGAGACCAATGCCCGAAAATTCAGTCGATGAGAGCGTTATTTCCATCAGCATGTGCATGATAAAGTTAAACAAAAATTGGGAAAGTGGACAGCCTTGACGAGGGAAATTGGGTTAGAGTTGGTTTTAGTGACCTGAGAGCGTGATCGCAGTGCCAAACGGACAACTGCTTGAGGTCGGTCACATACTATCTTTTCGTGGGCAGTCTCCGTATTAGCTCCGTTCTTGTTGAGACCTTACCTTCGGAGACTGATATCCGTGGAATAAGGAGGGGTATGCATTTTTAGGGTCGATCTATTCTAACTCCACCCTTCCTTTGTGGGAAGACAGCACTGCTGTCATACTGGTTTTCTGAAAGAAACACCTTACTGCCGTCATGCCTCTGTACAGTCAGCAGTATGACTTCGCCTTCAGACCTCGGGTTTGCTGCTTTCAATCTTACCGTTCATCAACTGACTTGCCTGGCATGGTAGGACCTTGAGGAGCGATTGTTCCAGCCAGTATAGTCCTATTGTTATATCACGATAGGCAAGTTCGACCACTACGTCAAGGTAGCAATGACGGTGGGGTAGAAAACTAATTATAAGAGCAATTATTTGAAGTTTTTCTATAAAACCCTGTACGGTCCAACAACTATAATTTATCAAGTATAAAACTGAATTTATTAGAAACCGAAGTTATTATGCCTGAATAGCTACTGAGAAAAGTAATTATGTTAAACTGAAAAATTCATTCAACTAGTTGATAGATTAACATTGAATGAGAACAAAGGGTGATTCAAATATAAATGAGTTAACCCTTCAATTTTCTTTTTAAATGATTAGTAGTTTTAAACTCTTTCCTAGTTCACACTAAGTAGTTACTTTATTCAGTTAAGCTTATACCAATAAATACTTTATTCACAAATAAATGAACAACGGCTTACTTCAAACCTAAAGGGTTTTTGTAAGCGTTCTAATGTATCTTCCAGTGGCATTCCTCAGAAATGATAATTAACAGTAATTTTTTTTATTCGATATAGATTCTTAAGATTCTTGCTTCAGTATGTTAATGTACATAGTCGTCCCTCCGGTGTACATACACCAAGATTCGGAAAAGACAGGGATGATTATGACCCTTGGGAAAGGACGACACGAAAATCACGAAAGGTGCTCATCCGCAGCCTCACTTGAAGTGGTGATCAGACTTATCTATCTTGATGGTCAAACCGAGTTATGGTGACTGGAAAACTTGTTTCTTTAGATCGTACCATATAAAACAATCCGTTGGTGAATTATATGATTAGAAGCAGAAACTTAAGGTCCCGTGGCAAAATGTTACTCCCGATCATTCTATGGTGTGACCATAACAAAGCGTTTGCCTGAAACAATGAAGATCTGCAGTGGTTCTTTATCCATGTCCGAAGGGGCGATTTACAAAAGGTCGGCGCTAAACACAACACCCTTCTAATTTTTGTCACCGGAGGTAGAGCTTTTAGAGTATAGAGCTAACATAACAAGGACTACACTCAATAAGACTGTTTGACCGGTCTAGGGAAGTTGTTCCTTGGATTCTTCGATCACTAATCAAGTTTTTATTTTTAGACACTTTAAGAAAGTGTTCTTTCCTGATGTAAGAAACTGGCAACTGCGTACACACCTATAATACCACTCAAGTTCACTTAGAATGACATGTTAACATCAACTCTTGTTCAGCTTTAATTCCACAAAAGGCTATAAGTAACTGATAACTTAACGAGATCAAATAAGAATACATGTTACTCAGTGTAAATGTGCGTTTTTGTTTCTTACATTGTCCTAGATCCATTGATTCAGAAACAAGACTAAATTCTTATATCTTGATGATGAACCCCAAGATTGTGGAAACCAAAACATAATACAAACCCAATTTGCATGGAAATTTCAGTATGATGGAAGCTCATATTTGCATACATTATAATTGTATTCAGAACGATAAAAACTTCAAACTACTGGGAAGAATTAGTACGTTTATTGTTTGAAAAATGAACGATTCGTCCAATCAACAGTATAACCTGGCTTGACCTTAAACTTTAGTCTTTGTTTTGTTATTTAACCGTTACCCTACAGTGAATGAGTCATCCAATACTATTCGATTTATCGGTAGACGATTTCTACAAGGGACCATATTCGTTTTTGATTGCTGTATTATTTGTACTTATTTAATGTTTATAGAACATAAGGATTAGTACTAAAGTTATTCATGTTTTTACCATAGTTTTAAAATAGATTAAGACTCAAATCAATAATCTGAAAATAACATCATATCCTGCACTTGCTCAAGCAAGCCAAATAACGTACAAGAAACATTTTGACACTTACATTAGGATCGGTGACTGGAGCGTCATGATTTCGTAATTGTTCCAATATGGTTGTTCTAGCATGATTTGATGGAATTTCGTTTAAAAGAGTCAATCTAAGGAGCTCAGGAGCTGTATACGGTGTAACTGGGAATTTAGCCAGTTTCAAACCCAACTCACGTTTTTTCTGAGAAAAAAAATCATAGGACTAAAATAAATGATCATGTTTCACTTGGAAAAAAATTTATGATTACCTTTCTAATGCTAATTTTAGGATTATGTATGTACCAATTGATTAGTAAGCACAACGCAATAGTATGCTTACAAAGTTCTGTTATCTTACAGTTGAAACTAAACTACAATTAATACTCGATGTTGAGCTTTCCAATAATTTCATTTTGTGACCAAAAAATTCTTATGTTAGTACGTATAGGCAAGTAAGTAACGTTCTAGCATGGTTCAGTAAAAAACAATGAAGTGTGGAATCTTATATCCCACAAAATGTAATTATTTATAACGACACAATACCGGATATATCACTTGAGATTACTAATAAGTTCTAACCAAATCTACCAAAAAATGAATGTCTAGACATCATATGTTTGATTGCAGAAACTTGAGGGATACGTAGTGTAGTCAAATTTATGTGTACTGCAACGGTTGGTGTGGTCGCTTTCCTTACATTTCTGTATTTTGTTCTGGGTTTAATTCATATTCTATTGTTTTTTCACCGTCCAATTAAATGCATTATTTGATCCTTCCTCAACTTTCTACTTCAATTAACTAATTTCATTCACTCACGCATTATTTTATTACCTTTATTCAAAACCTATACATATTAGGTGAATGACCTTCACCAACCTCCTTAAAATATCAAACCATAATCTTTCAATTTGCAGCTATTCATCTTTGATATTTAGTTTCTTATGTTTTACAACACTGACGAGCCAGTCAGATGATTCGTTCACTGAGAGAACACGGCCAAGCTAATATGCAAGGATTGATACTACCACTAATCAGTTAATACAGGCACAATTGCTTTATAGCTTTTAGGGAAATGAAATTAACGATAAATGTTTTCTTTGCTGTAAATTTTTTCGCATTTCGTAATGGTAGTTATTGGGAATCTCAGAGGATCGTTCGTGTCATTCGCTTTTTTATTAAATCACGATGTTATGGTGAAAAATTATGGTGCAGTGTACAGTGTACACACAGTATCATTTTTGAACCAAGACTAAATCTACTAACAAGATCAAACCATAAAAGATGAACTGGTGTTTTGAACCAAAATAAAAAGGCTACATAATTACACGAATTGAAGTATTACTAGGGGCCAATGAAATACTGATTCTTCGAATACAGTTCAATCAGTCGTGTACTTCACAGGCACGAATGTGAAGGCGATAAACAGGTTGTAACTCCTTTATTATAAGAATGGAAAACTGATGAGCTCTACGATTATTCGTGAGAAAAATGAATAGTATGTGAATAAATGCTGTTATGGAAATACGTTAAGTTCCTAGTTTAAAACAATATTAATATATTTTAGTTTTGTTAACACAATATATAATACTTACACCTATTTGTTCATCTCTTAAGACTAAGCGTAATAGGACACTTAAAGGACGTGCTAGTGATCGATAGGCACCGGCTGATGGATTATTTGTGGTGACAGCGTTAAGTAATCGTTTCAATCCTAGACGACGCAATGACTTTATACATATTTTCGGAAGTGGAGCATTTGATTCAGTCAATCCAGCTTCTTCCTCTTCTTCATCAGTATTACCATCGTCATCATCATCAGAATAACCCGGTTCACCAACACCAGCTACAAGAGATTCGACTGGAAAGCGACAAAAGCCAGATAGAACATTATTTTCAGATGGATTCTCTACCTCGGTATCATCAACAGATCCTTCAACAAGTAAGCTATGGAAGACATGGAAAAATTCTGTTAATCCTAGCAGGCGTCCAAACAAAGATTCATTGAAACTAGGAGGAAGTTCAAGTTTGGAAGGTTCAGGTAAGCGAGGGCACTGAGGCAAAGCAGTCATAAGATGTTGATCATCAAGCAATTTATTAGCGTGAATACGTTCAATCTTCTGTTTTTCTTTCATTTCTTGGAGTGCTTGCTTTCGTTGAGTCGGTGACATAGTCAGTCTAGAGATTCAAAATCATAAGAATGAGGATATTAAATATAAGTATTAGGAATCAGCACACATTTTATTAGAGATGAAAAACATGTCACCAAGATTTTTTCTAGAGTTATTTCAGTGGTTGAGTCACAGCCCAGAATTAGTGTAATCAGAAACACAAGGGTGATGCGGGGGGTTAGATACTTCATTATAGTTCATTTACCATGAATAAATGGCTTACAACTAGAAACATTATTTCAAAACCAGTATTAATGTTTCCAACGCGAAGTTCTTCACTAAAAATTGCTCCAAGACAACTTATTCTGACAGATTTGTGTAGCACAGATTGAACCATCCCGATACTATGTCCATAAATTGTAGATAATTAAAAGACTAATTAATTATTGAGTACCAGCATTACAAGTAGTACACTACTTATGGTACGCAATAAATAATTCATCTAAAAGACAGGAGAGGTATCATAGTGAAAAAATGCTTACGTTCTTAACATTTAGAAAAGCGTTGAATAGGCAATATAAAAAGCAGAAACAACGAAGTTACTCTCCGTAGAAATATCCAAAAAGAGGATCTAATTGCTGAAATCAATAAGAAATGAGTGATTTAACAACACAGCAAATCATCAGTCGGTCGTAAAGTACATTAAAATTGCCAAAAATGTAGATCGATTCAAGTTGCCACATCAGGTCAGTAAAGTCAGTCAGCTACAACGTATGACCAGGCATATATATGGATCGGTCCAAGTTGCCACACCTCATTAGCACAAGATGAACACCAGGTCGGCAAAGAGGGAATGAAATTATAAAACAAACCAAGAGTACCAAAAGTATTAGCAAAATTAGTTGCAGCATGTGAGATTGGGGAAAGACAAGATGATTTTTGAAGGATAATCCTCAGACAAAAAAACCAACGGAAGAAACGAATGACGATGAAAAACTTCATAGTTTTAAATTTACAACACTTATTGAAACACATCAAATACATTTTATTTTTACTTTTTTATTTATTTCAACACATAAATATTGGTACAAGAGGGCACAAAATATATATGCGTCACACCATATTTGTGTGTGTGGGCTGTGATACTACTGCCCGGATGCCCAGACCGAAGCAGGATCAAATACACTTTGATCTGATCATACTCACTGCCTTCTCGCATCACGAGTGTTGTTTACGAAATTGAGAAGACGAAAAGTGTATGCCCGGCGCTTTAACTGAGTTGGTGGATATAGAGAATCCATCTAAGGGAGTTGGTAAAACCCTGACTCCAAACCAATGGTGCACATGGGCTCCAGGATCTTGAAGGAACAAATGGCGTATGAACCAATTGTTGGTCACTGGCCACCATGGGACTGCATCTCACGATGCTCCACTGCCTTGTGGATCAGACTTTCAGGTCGAAGGCTCCGGGTGTGGCCCACTAAGAAAATCGCCTGTTACGGTTTGGGCACCCGTGCAGTATTCCAGCCATCACACATATCAAGTGAGATCTGTGTGGCGCATATGTATTTGGTGCCTCGTTGTACTAATATCTGTGTTAAAATAAATAAATAAACAAAACACAGCGAACTACTGATGGTTAATTGATACTTTCAGAGATATATGTTCTTGGAAAACGATGAGAACAGTGGTCTTGAGTAAGCGGAACGCTTACGGCGAATCGTATGAGCAAAATTTTCCATAAAGGAGAAGAATTTCCACGTACAAAACTTAACTCCAATGCGATTATTAAAACCATCCAAAATATATTGACACTATATTATAGCAATTATCTCTTGGCTACATACTATTCTGCTGCCTTATTTTCAATAATTATCAGAGATTTTATTAGGATATGTCAAACGAATCAGTACATGTTCGTAACACAATAATACAAAAATTCGAAAAATGGAATTAAACTTACAACTTTTTTTTGAACGCAAACGCTTCTTTCTTTGATCGCACAGGATCACGTAATTCAACAGGCAACTTAAGAATATCTACGTCACTTATGAATTTTGCACAAAGTCTTATTTGAGTTTCTATGGCTGGATTATTACGATCTTCTCCAAACATTTTGATGAGATGTTGAGCAACTCGAGGCAATGCACATCTTTCATTAGTATTCTTTTTAGGACGATTGATTGTTGGCTTGTCTGGTATTTCATCTTTCGTAGGAGTTTTCTTACCAAATTGAAATAAGGTGGACTGTGTTGATTAAGTAAATATGAAAAGTAAAAAATAATTTACCATGATTATTATAGAAAATCTGCCGTAAAACTAATACTTAGGTAGCTTTTACAATAAAGCGAAATCGGAATGCCCTTGGCCTACAGGAGGTGATAAAGGTATTTTACCCATGCTACCAGTGTATACGTATTTATAGTCAAACTTATAAAACTTCTAAGGAATATTTAAAAACCTATTTCGTGGTTTCTTCACGTGAGTGATGCTTTAGAAATATTGAGTAGATGTTTTCTTACTAAAACGGGTATGTTTTGGGAACCCCGAGTTCGAAAGAACGAATTATTTAAGATATTTAGCCCACGTCAGAGGCTATTGATGAGACCTCTATATGGATGCCGATATTAAGTAATTGCAAATCAAATAGGGATGGTACGACTTTCCAAGTAGCTTGATTATTAACATACTTAACAGAGTACCTTATATTACGTATTTTAAAACGGTTGCTTGTTTTGACAGTGTCATTAACCAAGGGCCTATTGGGTGACTCAATTAATTATTTACATGTTACTTCTCGTTGATGAACATAGACCACCTACCAGGAATTCGCCAATCAAATACGTCCTGGATTCTCCTTTCCAGTTGATTTTAATTGCTATTCATTCTTTCGATATCTGCCTCCGAGTCCCTACGCAACGTGCTCTTTGGTCTTTATCTTTTCCGTCTCCCTTCAGGATTCCAAGTTAGTACTTGCCTCGTGATCCAGTTTAGTGATTTCCTCAATCTGTGTCATATCCATACCCAATATCTTTTCGTAATTTCCTCCTCAGCTGGAAGCTAGCTTGTTCTCTCTTACAGTAGTCTGTTGCTGATGGTATCCGGCCGACGGACATTCAGTATCCTGTGTAGAAAACTGTTGACGATGGTTGTAGTAGTTCTCCAAGTTTCAACTCCTTACAGTAGATCTTGACTTTCGTATTGATGATTCTGACTTTGATATTAGTTGACAGTTTTTTGAGTTCCATATGTTGTTCAACTCTACGGATGCTATTCTCGTTTCCACAATCCTCGCCTTAACGTCTACATCAGATACTCCACGTTCATCAGTGATGCTGCTGACCAGCTACGTGAAAGATCCCACCCACAAGAGTATCCCCATCAAGTGTGATTGGGTTGGTGCTCACTGAGTTGTATTCAGGGATCTTGCTTTTTCCATTATGCATATTGAGGCCTATTGCTCTGTCTGTAGACCTTCTAGGGTTACTCTCGTTCCCAATCCGGGAAAAAGGAGGGATGGGGTTGCCAACCCTGTCCCGTAGAAAACGTTTTTTTTTAAAAATCATGACCAGAAAAGTCATTCGAACCACTGTGGGCTGACTGAAAGCCCGAAAATATACAACTGACAGTATTGATGAGTGTTGAACATTTCTTTAGCTTCATTGAAGTCATGAACCAATCAACCAATGATACGCAGAACTTTTGCGGGTCTTAACAGTAATTCAAATATCACACCACAAGAGTAGTAGTGCGAATAAATGAGGACAAGTCAAACCTGTAGTTTATAGATAACGTTGGCAACTACTTAATGATCAATCAATATAAATACCTTAGTTCTACAGATCAATAGTCGTCCCAGTAGCTGATTGATAACGTCTTAGACTTTGAAGTTGGGTGACACGAGCTTGAATCCGATGGAGGACGTCAGTTTCCACAAGACTCCGGGTACGTCTTGTTGACTAGTCTCGACCAACTAGCACAAAACCTAGGTTCAGGGTCTCCTCCGAATACCCGTAACCATCTAACAAAGATAGACGGAAGCGTCTCGGAAAAAAATTCACTTCCTAAAGCGACTAGAAAGATTTCTCAGATGCAACTTTTAATAAAGAAAATAAACATAAATTAAAAACTAAGTATCACAGAAACAAACCTGTTTCATTTTCTTCTTTCTACTATCCTCCAATGATTGTTTAAGTTGAGAACGATCTTTTAACTGAGCTAGCGGTAAGTTATCTTCATTTTCTTCAAGCATCTTGGAAGTGTTATCTTCACGTAGAACAGAGAAGCGCTTGATACGTTTAAAATTAAGTGGTGTGCTTGAGGTAATATCATCTGATGTACCTTCTCCGTTGGACTGACGTCGGGAGTTCATAACGCGTACAAAGTATTCCTCCTCCAGGGCTTTGGACATTTGTTTTAACTATAACAATCATTGACGGTGATAAAAACATGATAATCTGCATATACTATAAAAATCGATATTAAACCAAAGTTGTCAAGATCATAGATCGTTATTGTTAATCAACAGTTTTATAGAAATACTTTAAACGTGTCTACTTTTTTTTAAATAAACACCCAAACGAGTCCACAGTACTGCAACAGCGTACATTCTAGATATCAGTACTAGTAACCAACTGCCAGTAGACTGATTCATTTCTATGAATCAATAACGAGGAAATATAAGTCCTGATATCAATGAAATGAGGTTTTCTAAACTATAAAGTTATTTGAAAGCAAAATTTACATGAGTAAATTAAATATTAACAGTAGACTATACATACCTTAACTTTATCAACTTGACATCCGGGGCTTTTTAAAGGTATTTTATGACGTCGTAAAAGCTCCTCGTTTACAATCCATGGACCTGTAAAGTTTGGTCCATAACGCATAGCATGACTTCGAATAAACATTTTGATATGGTCTTTGGAAGGTGCTCGGTTGATACGGCTAGAAAAATGAGAACTAGTCATCAGAAAATCTTACTCAATGGAACAGGCTGGAACATCATGTACAACAACAGGGATATCTGAAAGAACTTTAACACTGTAAGCGTAGTTTTTCTAGAAAAAATACTTTACAAAGGTTTGAAAATTACCTTGATGGGAGAATTCTTTTTAGTCACATTTTCTTTGTCACTATTATTCGGTGAAGTGTTATCCGGAACAGATGTCTAAAATTAAATGAATTAGGACAGATTCACATCGTACCGGTACAGTTTGAGATTTTATTATATCATCAATTATTCCACGTATTCTAAGTCGATGTTTTTATTTTCAAGTGAACTTACGGTGTATTCGAAACAGAGTCAACTTTAAGTTTCACAGGTTCTGCAATATGAAATTGTTCATGTATGGTGGTCCAGCAGCTGTGTACCAAGGATTCTAGGGGTAGAGTACCTTTTGTATTGTTAAATTTATGAGCAGATAAGCTTACTGAGATGAACGCGCTCAAGGATAGTTTTTTCAAAAAACTTGGGGAAACACTTTTTTAGTGTTCGAATAGCAGTTGCTTCAGTTTTCAATGCTTCCCGGTAAGTCAAATTAGGTTTCCCAGTTACACGACAAGTCCATATATTTTCATTATATATAGTAATTTTGCGCTGCAATTCCTCGGCAGATGTACAAATTTCTTGAGTCTCTGGGACGATAAATGCTGGTTTTGGTTCGTGTTCTTCGTGTTGCTCAGTGTCACGAGGTTTCTTTTTTCTCCATATCGGGTTCAATACATGTAGCTTCGTACTGATAAGAGGCATCTTAAAACCCAAAGCATTAGTATAAAATATAATAACCAAAATGATAATACTGATAGTTAAATATGCTAACCTCGTGTCATATAAACTGTTGATAGCACAAATCCTAAAAAACCATACTTTATCTTATTCCATAGCGACCATTAAAAGGCGGAGCCCACTGAGGCATTACCAATGCTCTGGTTAGTCCTTACATAGTATGGCTCATGCCCATATACCTAGTAAATGTTGATTTTGTTACTTTTTGTTACGGAGGTAGCGTAGCGACAGTGTCGAATGTCTTAGAATACAATGATAGCATCTCTATCGATTAATTTATCCTTAAGCAAGGCTTTCGACAGTGAGCCGAGAAATGGCATGTCATATCCAACGACTTACCGTATTTTAAAAGCTAAAAGGAAGCCAATTTAGGCTGTGTTCGTACAACACTGTCTGTGACACAAGGACGATTAACTAAGAGTAAAGTTTTGGCATTGGCTATTAAACCTTAGCAGTGTAGTACATGTGTGGCAATTAAACTTATATTTTCATAAAACTATTCTAACCGATACGTGCTATTGCATTCCCCGAAAGTTTTGCTGCATAAATTAGTGGTTTAAACAAAAGAACAGACATTTTCAATATCATATTAAGCATTCTTTTTGGGTGGATTGAACCCTAAACGATTATATTTCGTTTAAAAGTAGACAACTGACATAACTGTTCAAAGGAGTTACTATGACTACATGTAAATGCTATCTTAGAAACATGCATGAAGAGCTCAAGTAAGGTAGAGTAGTTGGCCCCAAACTATCAGGCAATTGGGGTTTATACGAATACTTAATGTAGGGATTTTGCCGAATTTTATTTATTTATTTCAACACAGATATTGGTACAAAGAGGCACCAAATACATATGCGCCATACAAATCTCATTCGATATGTGTGAGGGCTGTGATACTGCCCGGGTGCTCAAACCAAATATAAGATTGGAAACCATATTCCAAGACTGCATATCGGTCAGTTGTTTGTATACAATTGACCACAGTCGATTTGTAAGATCTAAGAAAGACTACTACATCAATTGAAGCTTAACTAGGAATTTACCTACGGTTTTATAAAAAAGCCTGATACTAACAATCGTCAAAACTAGAGGTATAGGATTGAAAGTAATCACTTTAATATTTGCCGTAGTCGCTTAAGGAAATAATATGCTGTCCAAACGATTGTGATAAGTCAGAATTAGAACAGAGGAACACTGGCTGAGACATTACATAATAACGATGTTACTTATAACACCAATATGTAGACAAAGAATATACTTTCAAATAAACTACCTCAATCTAGCCAATCTATATTTATTAAAATTATTAATCTCACAATTACATCTAACGCATAAGCTTATTCCAGTTAACGTTCCGAACTAGTCATCTCAACAGAGATTTCGTTACATAATCCTAAATTAACATTCTGTAATTTTAAACGATGTACTTCGCCTCAAACCTGGACACTTTCTGGATTATTTGTTTGGAGAAGAGAATCTATTGAAAGGAATGTTCAGCAAGACCAATTTATGGACGAACCAAATAGATTTAGGATGACAGGTCAAGAGTTTTGGCGCGAATTTCACTCATCCACATTTGCTACATAGCTTTTTAGCACTTTAGCTGTCAGTTCGTGGCAAAAAATTTATATTTAATCACTAATTCTAACCATTCTTTAGAACAGAAATGTAATATTTGACTGATCTTTACCGTCTTGTGATATTCCATGGTTAGATGAAAGTCATGGCACGTACTATGTAAGCCAATGTAAATACTAAGTTACTTTCACGTTGACCTAGTTCAACAGAAATTTTGTGCACCCGATTATTGGTTAGTACCTTATTTTGATTCTTACTTTTTTTATATTTTCACATGTACGGTCCTTCATTCCCACACTAAAAGTACTTAAAAGGAAAACGACAAAGAACTAGAGCAAAGGACTCTAAAACGACGGACTATTAAAGAGTAATTTCAACTGAATGGAGAGTCGTTAGGATACAGGAAACAAGTATAGGGACTAAGGTAACGTAACGATTCCAAACAATTATTGTGTCATAGAAAATTAAGTTTATCTCGGTTTATCTCTTATTACACTATACTAGTGACGCATTTTTCACACGACTACATAACTTTTAAATTTGTGTTTTGTTTATGTCAACAGTAGTGAAAACGAAAATTCAAAAACACTTGATTTAACAATTTAATTCGAAAGTCATTTACAAACGGAAGAGAACTTGAAATATTTGGAGAAACTATTTGCCGTTTAACAGCACTACCACACTGATTGATCACAACAGTCGGTAACTAGGGTTTCTTAAAAAAGCATCATATGCCGGAATAAAAGAAGTGATAATATGGTAGAAACCAATGTTACGACAACACTCGCTGCTGACATACACGCTTATTAAATTATGACAGACTGGTACTTTTATCACAAATCGGATCTCGATCAGAGTAATATTTCAATTTCACATTTAATTTGGAAGATTCTATATCATATAACGAAACCTAATCCTAATCACTAATTCCAAACTGCAAGAAGATAGGTTGTAAATCAGAGGTAGGAAAAGTAACTCGCAGTTAAAAATACCAGTGTAAGAATGAAAAATTTCAAAATCTTGAGAACAAAAGGACACCTTATTGTACAGCAAGTGGATTCAACTGGCAGAGCGCAACATGAAAACTCTACACCGTTAGCGCCGGAGGCAAAAACTTGGAACAACCCGCCTACCTCAAGCTGTACACATTAGACACATACTTGTTTAAACTGTCAGATGTACTAAAACAAACTGGACATCGAACAATCCTCACTGTCAGATTTCCTGCATTTTTTGAAAATTTTTCATGTTCTTCAGTTCTAAAACATTGAGTTAACGTTAATTGTTTCTATGGTGTAAATAAAGAAGACCTAATGTACTCAGAGTCCAAAATATTCGAGGAAATATGTCAGGAATATAAGCAGCTTTAAAATAACAATTTCCTGTTTCTGGTAACCGAGACATACCATCACTTCTGTGTGGATCAAATATAAATAAAACAAGCATCACTATGTTAGAATACCATGCCGCTATCAGTACTTGTTAAGTTTCCTCCATTAAAACTGTCGCCAAAAATGAATCCCCAAAACAACAAGTATATTAGGTCTCTGATATAACTGATGATCTCATTAATTTCACTGGACACAACGAAGCTGAAATTCCAGTCACGCATGCGCACCTAGTCACGATTGAATAGGCAGTGCGGCGCATCTCCCTTAGTTACTAGACATCTTCAGATGAAGCACATCTCAACACGTATACAGCCTTTGAATATATATTTGAACTAATACACCACGGAATTTTTGTTTGAATTGGTTGGTACACTTTGTTTATAGAGGCGATACAGAAAATAACGTTATCAAACCCTGAAGACAAATGGCATATTTAGTGTTGAATAAAAAATGATCCGATACGCCAAACGGTAGATATTCGGTCTGCCCCCTGCTAAAATACAATACACTCCTTTAATTTTAAATGTCGTGAAATTTTTGTTCTCTCAGACTATGGGGGAATGGCATAACGCTACGACATATAGCATATATCCTCACCACGGCCACTTAGTAGCATGATGTTAGTTGACCTCATAAAGCCTGACCTCTTTCAACAAATCTTACTAATTTTGCATCAAATCTGCTAAAGTTCATATATCTGCCGAAAATACTAGAACTGTAGTTGATAATGGGCTGTCCAAAATTTTCAATAGATATACGTTATATAGGGAGTTTCAGGGTTGTCAATATTAGTTAACAAAGTACAAGAGTTTTGAAGCAATCTCATCAGATTGGTATTGAATTTTGATCGACCTACATAATTGTCATAGTTACGTGTCGGACATTTTTCAATTCCCTTACCTGTTGCTATTACTTCTTGTATATGTTCGTTCCCTACAGAATTCGAATTACTGACACTTATGGCTTTTATATCTGAGAGTTTCATATTTTTTTATGGACTTATAAAATTCATATTGTATAACGGAAGCGCATCGTACTTACCTAATTTGAAATTATTTTCCTATGAAATAAAGTTTAGTTGCACAAATTTTTCGAAGAATACTGAAGTTCTGCCACTCTTTTAAATCTAATTTATCATTTAAAACTCGTATCGATGCTCTAAAGACCGAAAACCTTAGCTCTGTATTGATTATCCAGCAAGGCCGTAGTCCTTCTGTCTTTACTACACAAATATGAGTCTGAATCTGAAATCTGCATGCTTTCGTATAGGGTTAGTGACCCACTAAAGAATTCAACCGAAATAATTGGCAATACTGAGTAAACCTTGATTATTTAACCCATTAATCTCTGGAACTCACCTTGATCTTTTCAATGGATCATTTATGAAGCTACTTATTTTGATATGTTACGATTATCTCTTCAGTGGAAAAAATAAGATGTCAATGGACTTATGTTAATTTTTACAATTTGTGGTATTTTGTATACTCAACCACGCTCTGAATGTGACAACATAAGGGTTGATATCGCGTGTTCTAGTGGACAATTCACTCTTCTGTGCGAGAATAAAAAATCTGGACGTGAATGTTTCGATATTGGTTTTTAAACTTCCTTATAATGTCTTCGCAGATGATTAGTTCTAAGTTGGAGGAAAATTTAGGACATATTCATACTCAAATCATCGTTCACTATACGGTGAGCAAGTATTATACTATTTCGTAACGTGCGGCAAGATAACAGTAATACGTTGAGACGCACTTGTTTTCTTTTATCGTTAGAAAGTTACTTATCCTGTCTACGGTTTTATAATGGATTCCACAACGTTCCAGTTTTGATTTAAGACACGGATGTGAGTCCATGTTGTAAGGTTTACTTAGATCTGTGAAAAATACATCTACAGAATTACTTTCAATCAACTCTTGCAATGAGCAGGTTTTTCAAGCACGAAAAGTTTATCACAACTCTTAACTACATGATTCGTGATCTTCAAAACTATTTCAATCAAATTCAGTCGCCATGGGCACGAGGACTTGTGTACATTTTTAGTTTGTGCCTTACTTGCCTGTAGTGAATGTTGAACTTACTCTTGCCTCCCCCTACACAACGTTATAAAACATTTGGCTGCGGCAAAATGGCAATGAGTCGTAGTCATAGCTGACCATTTGTCTAAGCCACTGTAAGAACGGATTAATAGCAGAAACTACTCACTAATTTTGTGGTTAATTCGTTATTAACTTTCCCTAGCCTAAAGAAATCGATACTTTTAGTTCAGCGTCTAAATTGACATCTACAATGAGTAGCATATTTTTAGCATTGCTTGTAGATTCGATTCTGTGATGAAAGGAAACTTGTGAATGAGGACATTTCTTACTTAATTATTTATGGCAGTTTTCTTGTCCTATTTTTTTCATTATTTAAGATGCAATTGACTTGCTACTGATGAAGCGATTGCAGCTCATATCGTTTAAAAACACCTAATCATAATGGAATTCTAGGGAACTACATACATTAACCCATGTTTCATGATGATTCTCAAAGTATCATAAGTAAAGACTCAGTTTGGAGACTTTCAGTTGAATTGTAAGTAATACAACCATGTCGATCTATGTGAATGAAGTCACAGTTAAGTTAAGAAGCATTATTTATATATCAGACTAGTTAGAAAAAGCGTTGAGATCAGATTAAAGGTCATCTAACCCGTTATTTTTTTATTTTCTCGCATCAGCACAATTTATCATAAAAGATTTGATGATAATAATAGATGATGTTCTTTTCATAAAAAGTACACCAAACGAAATTTTGCATCATTACTTAAAGAACATTAGCTTACAGTAATTTTAAGTACTGAAGTCTTTGTTGCACTTCCAGTCAACAAGAGACTTTTTATTTATGTGAATAGATTTCATGAGACTTGTGTTTCTTAGTCTTAATAAAAGTCAAATATATGGAATCCTGATAAACATTTAACAGATGTTAGCGCAAAGGAAATTCACTGAATTCCTATTATTCATAGAATTTGTTCAGCGAAAAATGAGAAGTTATAAGAAAACTAATATTAAACAGTTATAATCGGCAGACTAGCAAGAACTTTGTTCTTAAAACAGATTAAAATTAAACATATTTTTATGTGAACCATTTCTAATCTAAAATTAGTCTGACAAAAAGTAATTACGATACATTATCACTTTTCTTTGATTAATTTTTCCCTAAATCTCCAAGCAAATTATAAGAATGCTAATAAACAAATGATTACCAACCTATGACACTCATTTTTAAGGTTTAAAATCAATAACCTGATCGTTGCTGTTACCTTGGCGCGGTGGTCAAACTTGCCTATCGTAATGAAGCATTCGAACTGTACTGGCTGAAACAATCGTTCTTCAAGGTCGTATCATGACAAACGGGTCGGTCGAGGAACATTAAAACTAAAAGCAGCAAACCCAAGGTCCTAGGGTAAAATTGTACTGCTGACTATACAGAGATGTGAAGGCAGTAGGGTGTTTCCTCCAGATAACCAACATAACAGCTAGGCTGCCTTAGAAAAGGTCCACCCCAAAAATGCACATCTCGCCTTATCTCACGGATATCCGTCTCCGTCGTTAAGGTTCCTACAAGCAAGGATCTAATACGAAAATTACACTCAGGAAGCTCGTGTGTGACCGGTCTCAATTAGTCGTCCCCTGGGTATTGTGGTCACCCTTTCATGTCACTAAGACCAATTCTAATCCAATTTCCTTTCTACGTAAATCTAGAAGAACCTCTACACGGTGTAGGAAACCGGGGAGTGATAACCGCCCTCATACCTCTAACAGCACTCAAGACCACTGTATTCATGGTCGATTTCCCTCTTTAATTCCTATTCACCATGCTTTGCAACTCATCTAGTACTATGTGCCAACAGTCATATGCTTCATTGTGATATTGCTAGTTTTCAGATTACACATTTATATGTGGTATCTCTTAGCATAATTCAGACTGGTTCAAAAAATTGAGAAGTATATCATTCCTAAATTTCCGTTATAAAATACCATTTGCATATTGATTGTCATTCTGTTTATGAAAGTAAAGTGATAAGAAGTTTGAATTATGAGATAATATTCGTAAATCAAAAGTGATAGAGCTATATCAAAATTTTATTGCTTCTTAGTCGAACTTTTGATGCACCACATATTCCTTCATTATAGTCGGTACTATGGCAAGGAATAAGGCAAGATCTATACTACTAATTCAGTAGTGAGAATCGAACAGGAAAAATGTTCAACTAGGAAACTATGAACCAATTTACACACTGTTCTTTGGTGTCGGTTACAGTAGAATAAATTACCAATATCCCAGTATATGTAGCTGCAATATGAAATCTTAAAAATTTAATGAAAATTGTAAGACCATAAAACACAGAATTTCACCATGTCTTTGGTCAATTTCGACAGCTTGACTCTAACCGCCTTGGAAAATAAGTAGTTGTATTATTATCGACCATTTTTTTATTGTTCAATATGATAAACTAATTATAAGCTTCAACCATCTTCATTTTAGATCTAGTTCAACATTATTTGTCCAGAAAAATGCCAAGACCAGCTTCAGCTCAATCTGAACAAGAAGACAATACTGATTTACTATTAATTGAAGAATATGAACGATTACATAATCAGTTAAGAATATTACAAAATGAACGTCAAAAACAAACTGAAGAATTTACTGTTAAACTAGGAAAATATAAGTAATGTTATGATAACATACATAATTATTTTACCAAAATCAAAAAAACAATGTAGAAAAGCTACAGAAATATTAGAAAAAGAAAATGAAGAAATTAAATGTCTCCTAACATTAGTAGATAGTGAACAAAATAGAAAACAAGATATGAAATGTATTGAACAATTAAAACAAATTTTAAAAGAACAAGATAATATACAACTACAAATTGATGAATTAAAAACTTATGGAAAACGTTTAGATAATGAGGTAAGCAAAATAAATAAATAAATTTCAATGGTTAAGATCGTGAGTCAGTTGAAGCTAGACCACCATGGAAAACCTGAAAAGACTGAACGGCCGTTTCACCCTATTATGGGACTCCTCAGCAGTGCGTATCCACGACCTCGCCCCCTGCAAGATTCGAACCAAGGACCTAATGGTTTTGCGCGCGAGCACTTAACTACTAGATTACTGAGCCGGCGTCTAACGGTGTTAATGTCTAACTTCAACTAATCCATGAAATTGACCACCGTCCACCACTGTCTTCAGAGAGTTACTGACAGGTCCTGAGAACCAAATCTCGCGGGGCGAGGTCGTGGATGAGCACTGCTGAGGAGTCCCACAATAGGATGAAACGGCCCTTCCAGTGTTTCCAGATTTCTCATGGTGGTCTAGCTTCAACTGATTCATGATCTTAACCATTGAAATTACTATAATGTCCACAAAACCCATTTGAAATAAATAAATATTTACTTTTTTTTCAAAAATAGACACGTAAAATAGAAAATCTTATCCAAGAAAAACAACAAATTCGTATGATACAAACTAAAAAAGAAACTGAAACCAATGAATTAAAATTACAAATTGAAAAAAAATTAGTTACCATGGAAAATAATTTACATGAAGTAATTTTATATACACACAAAAGAAGTCTTTTTTTGTTTCTAGAAAAATATGAAATTTTGTAATACTTTAGCATATAATAATAAAATACGCCATGAAATAGAATGTGCTAGAAATGAACGAAATATTTATTATGCAATACATCAAAAATTAAAAGATAAATTAATACATTTAAATAAATTAAAACTTAAATTAATTCAACAAGCAAGTCTTACATATGATCAAAGGTAAGATTATTATTATTATGATTACCATTACCATTATTATTATTATTATTATTAATTTAAGAGCGGATGCCAAAAATAAAAGTAATGCATTAAAAGAAAAAAATGATAAAGATAATATTGGATTTGAAACTGAAATGAAAGATTTACAAAGAATTATTGATCATAATGATCAATTAAAAAAATTTATGACAATTAAATCAGATGAACGTTTAGATTGGAAACAGAAAGCAGAAAATCGTCGACGTAAATATGGTAAGTATTAATCATTTAGTATATATAGTGAATGTATTATTATTATTTTTTATTGAGATGGTGAACCGACTGATCTTAGACTGCCTTTGGAAACCTGGAAACACTGGATGGCTTTTCCTTCTTTTTGTGGGACTCCTCAGTAATGCGCATTCACGATCTCGCTGGCAGGATTCGAACCCGATTTTTTCGGTTCTCAATCCTCGGAGTTCTAGTGAGAAGCTTTGATCAGTGGAGCTAATCTGTGTCGGGTATAAACAGGTGTCTATCTCAGTACAATGGAAGATGGTCATGCAACTTCGTGTATTGGTTGAGGTTAGACATTAACACCATTGGATGCCGGCTCAGTGGCCCAGTAGATTAGGCGTTTGCGCGCGAGACTGAAGGCCCTGGGTTCGAATCCTGCTAGCGGAACCTTGGATGCGCACTGCTAAGGAGTCACACAATAGTACGAAAGGGCCGTTCAGTGCTTCCAGGTTTTCAATAGTGGCTTAACATCAATCGGTTCATGACCTCAATCAAATCTTAACAATCTCCACAATCCCTAAACTGTTATTGTATTATATTATGTAATTAAAAGAAAGTTGTTATTCTTTATTTCGGTTAGATATAAGCAACATAAAACCTGGTACAAATGTACATGGGTTCAGCACAACGAGATGAAATTATTATAAAATAAAAAATAGACTCATCAACAGAGTGTCAAAAACAATGGTGATAGGAAAGATTAGGAAAAGGAAATATGATTCACGAAATAATTATGAATTTACAATATCAGATTATATTGAAACCCAGTATCAAAGTGAGGAAAAAAAGTGAATGCGTGTGTCCCATTTTAATCGATTGCAAACTACATCATTCAAATTCCCTAGCTATCGATTGCAATAATTGCGCCAAATCTGTTCATTTGAGAATAGGGGGTTATTAAACTTTACAACATACTTTTATGGAATTTTACTCCGTACATACTACATTGATAAGTAATGTACTGGCTTATTCACAGACGTTTATTTGACCAAGATATATATTGAATATAATTATTCACTTTAAAATATATGCAGATAAATTAATTGCGTTAAATATTAGGTACATAATTTGAGATTTTGATTAAACAAATAAATTGGAAAAAATATAACATTCGGTATGACAGCATATAGAATAAAGATCCAGTTTTTATGAGCCAAATGAAAAGCGAATGTATAATTTTTATTATTTGAACACATATATATTGGTACAGGAGTGCGCCGAATGTATATGCGCCACACAAAACAATGAGAATCTAAGAAAAAAAAGAAATAATAATAATTAAAAAAAACAATAAGGAAGAGATCGGTGTAAGGTAGTGTAATAATAATAATAGCAATAGTAGGAGAACAGAAGGGTACAATCAGAAGAAATCTTTCAGTTAAGGAAGATACAACCATTTTTTTTATGAAGAAAGTAAAAGAAGGTTACAACAGGATCGCCACTGGCTTCTATTCTGAGCCATATCTGATAACGTCTCTAGCCACTGTGTAGCACCATCTCTCGAACCCCAACCAGGGAGTTGTGAAGGACCAACACAAGCCAGTCCTTTGCAGTTTTCTTCCATACCACGACACCATGTCATGCACTGACCACCTCTCCGCTTCTTCCAACCAGTCCCAGAGTCGGCAAATAATGCACGACGTGGAATTCTCTGGGACGACATTCGTAGAACATGTCCAAGCCACCGAAGTCGGTGTTTCAAGATGGTGACATCGGTTGCATTATCGTCTCTTTGCCCGAACACATGATGCTGAACCTCTGCATTACTAACATGGTGTTGCCACTGGATGTCAACAATCCTTCGGAGACAACGATGATCGAACACAGAAAGTCGTCTGACGTCCTTAACTCGGAGAGACCAGGTTTCACAGGCATAGAGCAAAACTGCTCTCACCGACGCGCTGTAGATCCAACGTTTTACAGCCAAACTGACATCACAAAGGCGCCAAAGATGGTCTAGATTGACATAAGCCGCTCTGGCTTTCACTATACGTGCATTGATCTCATCACTCACGCCCCCACCAGCACTTATGCTGCTACCCAGATACACAAACTTCTCGACTACTTCTATCCGCTCATCATCCAGGGTGAGTACAGGATTAGAATCCTGCCAGTCCTGTAGAAGTACTTTGCACTTTGAAGGTGCGAAGCACATACCATAACTACGGACACTAATTGCCAACTGATTAAGTGCGGATTGCATGCCTTGGGCATTATCGCACAGTAAGACAATATCGTCCGCATACTCAAGGTCGAGAAGTCTTTCTCCAGGCAACAGATCCACACCACCATTACATCCATCAGAGCTGTTTCCAGAATGTCATCGAGAGCAAAGTTGAAGAGGAATGGTGAGGTTGGACAACCCTGTCTAACTCCACTGCTTGAATGGAACAATGGAGAAAGGTGGTTGTATGCCCTCACTCTGCCTGAGGTGTTTGTATACAGGGCCTTTTAGATGTGAATAAACTTCTCAGGCACACCCTTCTTCAATAGACAATCCCAGAGAACAGTCTTATCCAACGAATCGAAGGCAGCCCTGATGTCAAGAAACACTACGATTGTTGGCCTTTGAAAATTATGTCCGTGAAGATATAATCAATACATCCTCGACCAGAACGAAACCCAGCCTGCTCTTTGCGAGTCAATCTTTCTCGGGTTTTGAACAACCTACGAAGTATGACGGGAGCCAATAGCTTGGACGCAATCGGAAATAGACTTATCCGCCGATGGTTGTTAAAGGAACGACGTTAACCGTTTTTAAAGATAGGGACAAGTATCGACTCATTCCATGACGTTGGTACACTCTCTAATTCCCACACCTTTGTAAACAACGTCGTCAATTCCTTAGTCAGAAAGTCGCCACCATCTTTAAAATTGAAAAGCGAATGTATAAACTGAATATTTAACTATAAATTAACTACCACATTAAACTCTGTATTATGTTACTTAATATTTCCAGTCGCTTGTAGTTGATATTACTAAGACGGGAGTTGACAATACCTTGGCCTTCTTCTATAAGTTTGTAAATTGCTGTCGATGGTGTTGCCAACTTTTGCATCTAATGATTAATTAGTTACGTTGCAAAATTGATTGATCGCCGAATAGTAACTAATCTCATATTTATGTAATGCTTTAATATGGATAAAAATTTACCAAACAATTCTCAGTTTAAATAATTTAATTTTTTGCTCTGTTTTGGGATGTCAGATGGTCGATAACATCTTAAACTGTGAACCTGTGCAACCTGAATTAATCCCTCTAAGGTTCTAGGTATGCCTTGTTGACTAATGCCTACTAGTTTCAGAGTTTCTTACTGACTACCTCAAATCATCTAACATCTTGAATTACATTTTATTTAAAATTGCTGTGGAACCAAAATTCATTCAATTTAAAATTTATGAACTGAACAAAATCACTTCCATATTCACTACTACTGTGAAGGAGAACACAGGTGAGGACAACCGAATCAGAATTAGCATAACATTACGGAGTTACTTGGTAAAACAGAAAAACCATACTACTAAAACCATAATACCCAATTTGCAAAATGTTCAATAATTGTCTCTGACTTCATTGTTCTTGCATTTCTATACTAATTGCTTACTATTCCCGTTCTTCCTTTCTTGATCTTCCCAATCTTCTGCTGCCAGACATTACATTCCTGACTAATGTTATATAGTACTTATGTCAATATAAGTAGAACGCACCACACTACTACTGTTTTAAATAATAATAATAATAAAGGAATTCGCCCATATTTATGTATATTTTTTCATCTAGTTAGTTGTCTTATTGTATTATTAAGGTAGAAGGAAGTGAAATACAATTTTGTAAAGTTCTACTTTTTCATGAAATGGTAAACATTATACTCAATGGTTGAATATCATAGATGAATTACTTGAATGAAGTATTTGTCTTTAGTGATACGCTAACACATATCATAGTTATATTCACCATAGTTCACTAAATATCTAAATAAAATTATTCATATTATCGTTACTAAATGCACTTTTTTTACAAAAATTTATTTAGGTGCTACTGGTGAAATAGCACAACATCAAAGAAGTTTAAAAATTCAAGAATATGAATCAGCAATGAATCGTTTACAATTAATCACTGGAAAATCTGATGTTGAACAAATGACTAGATATTATAAACGTAATGAAGATGATAACTTTACAATGTTTAAATATGTGACTGAATTAAATAATCAGGTAAAACAAAATAACTAATTAATAATACACTTAAACAAAATATATATATGATTAGATTGAATGCTTAAATGATAATATCACAAATATAGAGAAAACAATTAATGAATACGATGAAGAACAAAAAGTAATTGAAAGACAAAGAGTTAATAAAATGACTGAATTACAGGTACGTTTTTGTTTGTATTATTACTTATTTTGCATATTAAAATGATTGATCTATCAATTATGACAATCCATAAGTTAAGAATACATTTGTGTGGCCAACAATGAGACACACATTCTATGTAAAGACTAATGGTACTATCCTGGTTTCTCAAGCTGAAGTAGATAGATCAGAGTTAAAAGCAGAAACTTAATTGTTGGAAATCAATAGATATGATCTCTTATCCGCAAGTTTTACAAAACAAAGCCTGGTATATTCGACTTGGAACTTCATTGGTCTAATACTAATCTGGTTATTTTAAAAAAGTGAATTCGAACATCGCGATACAATCAAAAACTTTACAAACATTGTACCATTACCAAGTTATCCAATCATAACCACCTTGAATAGTTTAACTAAGTAATATAAGTGAAAAATGGAAAAATGAACATACAATGAAGTTAATAAAATTACATTTTCTTGTAGATATGTAAGTCATCAGTATGGGGGTTGTGGAGATTGTTAAGTTTTTTTTGGTTGAGATCATGAATCAGTTGATGTTAGACTACCGTTGGAAACCTGGAAGCACTGGACGGCCGTTTCGTCCTAGTATGGGACTCCTCAGCAGTGCGCATCCACGATCCCGCGAGCCGGATTCAAAGCCAGTAGGTCCTGGGTTCGAATCCCGCTCGCGGGATCGTGGATTCGCACTGCTGAGGAGTCCCATACTAGGACGAAACGGCCGTCCAGTGCTTCCAGGTTTCCAACGGTGGTCTAACATCAATTGATTCATGATCTCAACCAAAAAAAAAAGATATGTAAGTTGTTGACGCTTCTCGGTTTCTCTCAGTATGAATGAAGATTTCATCTTGATAAACTTGTAAACAAAATCCAGATGGTACTGATGAAACTATCGGGAACAATGCGGTAGCTCAAGAAGGACAAGCTACAGATGACGTTTTCATGGGCAATTGACTTTGTAATATTGAATCCGTACTGTTCAGAATCTATCATCAAAAGTTATTTAGCCAGAAACTCAGCATTTTTTTAAGGACTGATTTTTTTTACTCATGTTTACGGTAGGAGAGCATGCAGGGGATTGCTTATCTTCAGTAAGAGACATCCCATTGGGATTAAACACCGAATAAATTTCCAATTGAACTTTGGTAATTTATTCTTATAGGACTGATACAGCTATGGTTCCTGTATCGATCTAACGTTTGGTACGTACTATGATTTCATTTAACCTTGGTCTCATTTAAATATAATTCAATCCTGAATTCACGACTGCACTAGGTATTGGTCATACTTTCAAAAAAGAAGCAACAAGGATTTATAACGTTAAGCTATATCATAAAATTGTACGTCGTTCCGTTCAGTAACATCAGTAGTGAAGACGCACTACTGCATGATATGCAATAATGGTCGATTAAAGTATGAGAAGTATGCGATCACATAATAAAGTGATTATTCAGGCTAAGGACGTTTTACTCTTGTAAATTTAAGGTCGACAATGACCTATTTAGATCTATCCAACTTAAAACGTTCAAATGTAAAATGTCTAACTGAGCGTTTACAAGAATCAGTGATAAATACGTCCAATAGTAAACATTTATACGACTCACCTCTTAAAAACATTTAGTAGTTAGCAAATTACAAAATTCAATCTTTAAACTAACATACAGAGCTATTAATATCATTAAACATGATATATTGTTAACCCGAAGTTAAATACTCCACCATTCACAGGCGGCTCAGTTAGTCTTATGTCGAAACGAAGAATCAGATTTGCTATGAGTAAGACATTTTACGCAGCTCAACTGATCATTATTAAAGGGGTCTATGTTTATGCAAAATCACAAAGATCGAGTAAATAATTATGTCATATTGCATTATATCTATCAGTTTTACATGTATGTGCGGAAACACAGACATCGGGAGGAACAACGATGATATAAAAGTAAGGGTGGCTGATCATACACTTAAATGAATGTCAAAACAGTTAACCTCCAATTATCGAATAAGAACATGGAGTAGATAACTACCTTCCTCCATTGAGAATCATTTGGTTGAAGCTGATCGCACGATTGACATCAAGTCAAAAGTTGTGGTGTTAAATAAATGGCGTATAATAAGGTTTCTTGAAGAACTGGTTAAACGAAAACTGGAACCCTTTTTATGTATCCTAAAACAGTTTGTTCTCACATCCTAACCTACCCTGGTAATGCTGATTTATTATCCAGCGTGGTTTTCACACTATGTACTTTATTACTATTATTGTCTTTGTTTCGTCTTACGTTCCGGTTTGTTTAGTTGATCTTTTGTTTTATCGTGTGTAATGTCTTAATGTGTACATTTGTGATCAGATTGTCCGAAACGTTTCGAGCATATATGTCACATAGATGGGATAACCTTTATCTTTTCAGTGCATTATCCAAACCTGTCAAGGAATTGATTTTTTAAGCATACATTTTTACCTGATCCTGTTATGTCTTTAATTGACTGTATAATGTAAAATGTCATATTCTTTATAGTTTCTCCATTTATATTTTCGCATTCATAAGGCACAAATCAAGTCTGATAAAGAAGCCGCTAATACAGCTGAAAATCGTACAATACATATACATAAATTACTAGATCAAATTAAAACAGAAATAAAACAGTTAACTATAAAACTTGGTTGTGATTTATCTAGAATAACCGAAATGCTTGGCGGTGATGGTGATCAAATAACTGAAAGAAATTTAATGCTTTATCTTAGCGTATTAGAACAAAGAGTAGATGAATTACTATCAGTTAAATGTTATTCACAAACTAAAGTAAGAAATAGTAATAATATTTTATTCGAAACCTTTGATATTTAGCGATTATTCACATTTGTAGAATTCCCTGAAACATACGGGAAGTTAGAAGTGGTCCGAATACTTCAACAATGACTGTGGATCCAAGTGATAGGAGATCGAGTCCACCAGGGAACACCAATTCCCTCATTACTACACGTACACATTGCTGACAGGTGCTGTGCAGCACTAAATTTTGGCCCAGAATTTCCTGTCGACTTCCGATCTGAACACTCTATGCTAGAACACTCACTTGTTTTGTTATGACACCTTTGATATCGCTCGTGATTTAATTTTGTTCATAGATGGTTACAGTTATCAGTGTTGTTTGGGATACAAGTTTCATTATGTTCCGATAAGTTAATGCCAATTTTTCATTTTACGTCAGATACGGTACACAACTAACGGCACTTCAATATGTAGAACCCTACAGTCGCAAATCAAAAGATGGTAAAAGTAGGGGAGGTGGTTGTTGGGTAAGAATCAAAAATGGACAAAATACATGCGGTATTTATAGCTATTAGTATTGGGTATCAAATCACTATGGGTCAGCCAATCCGCAAGTATGCCAGTTATGCTATTGTCCAATCGTAACATGCCACGTTGATATTCTAGAAGGCTCTATCAGGTTCTGATTAGACGGAATCTCTTCGGATACTTGAGAGCCTCTGACAGCTTTGTCACGCTTTTCTTGGCTGTCCCAGAGATCGAGTACTTAATGCCAGATTCATCTGTTTGGTGAGGCCCAGAGATTACCTAAACGAGTTATTATCATTTCATTATAACCTTCATTAAATACAAATACATTTACATTCGAAATGTTATCACATAGTGATAACGGGAGGATCGAATAACGTTAGTTAATAATAACTTATCGATCCATGAAACAGTTTGCAATGACTGATATTGTGAAATATAATTTCTAACACTGCAACATCTTAAACGACTAAAACAAATGGAAACAAAGTGAAAGAAGATCAAAGATGCTTGACAAATATATCACCTAATTTATTTGTGTATATTTTTGTGACTATTCGTTGAAACTGATTCTAGACCACCTTAATAAAATATTAGGCCTATTTTCAAAGGTTTTTCGATTACTTCAAACTAATAAACAATTTACATACGTTTTTGTAATGAACTGTATCACTCCAGTTGTTGTTAAAGGCAGAAATTGTTCAGCTTCTATTAGGATATGTAAGTTCTGAGAGGACCGCACTGATATTCCTACTTGGTCACAAGTTTTTATTAGAGCCAGATAGTTGGTGTTTGGAGCATAAGATACTGCATTCGGATCTCAATATAAACATCAATACTTGTCCTGGATTCCGCCGGCAGTCATAATCTAACTTAAATAAGTTCTGTATAATAATAACGCCGTCGGATAATTTTTGTGTGGTGATGTTTTCATGTTTGTGTTCTATAGGCTTATAGAGTGAAATAGTTTGATAATCAATGATGTACAGCCCAATAATATTTGCTCTGAAAAAGTTGCTTACATTAAGTCGGGATATAACATAAATATACTTATTATTAACTCTCTACTCAATGCTCAATTTATTTGAAACTGTCAAGTCCAACCTTGGCATTTATACCTATGAAAGAATTTGGTAGGATTTGTTAGTTTCAACAGTTTCCACCCCGTATTCCCATAAAATGATTCCAGTTAATATGTAATCGACATACTATAACATAAATTAATAATTTCAAGCATAATGACTATGCAGTTTAAACAAATAAATGTATTTGTTTATATTGTGTCATTTACTGAATTGACAAAATAGATTCTATAACAACATTTTAGGGACATAGTGATGAGATGAGTCAAGAAAATCCGAAGATAACTTTGGCAACAAATTTCATGGAAACCGTAAGAACAAACAGAGATACATCACTTGTGTTACCATCTTTACAGTAAGTGGATATTTTCTTTGAAATTTAAAACTAAATGTCTGAAAACTTTTTATTGGAGTAAAATACATTTCACTGGTTGAAATCATGAGTCGATTGAAGCTAGACTACTTCGTGGATTGGTTGAAGTTAGACATTAACACTGTTGGATGCCGGCTCAGTGGTCTAGTTGGTTAAACGCCTGGCGCGAGACTGATAGGTCCTGGGTTCGAATCTCACAAGGGGGGCGGGATCGTGGATGCACACTGCTGAGGAGTCCCATACTAGGACGAAACGGACGTCCAGTGCTTCCAGGTCTCCCATAGAGTTCTAGCTTCAATTGACTCATGATTTCAACCAGTGAAATTTCTAAAAATCTCCACAAGAACTCATTCTGATAAAATACATTTATGTGGATATTTTTAAGCTTGTTATTTATTTCAGTCTTACACATTTGCATGCTCCAACTCGTATGATGTAATCATCCAAGAATAATAAATCATATGAATACCTTCTAATAATATGTAAATTACTCCAGAATATGAATATATTTTTATCATTCCTAGCATTTTCACTATATTTTCATGTTAGTAAGATTATTACTTTAACAAATATCTCAACAACTCACTCCGTAACCTTAATTAATATCTGAAACATGCTCAATGATAATTTTGTATTTTTATCATGAAGCAATGCATATTGCTACATGTGTAAGTGATTTATTCTAACTTCTGGGAAAACAAATTACACTAATCATCCCAGTTATCCTATTACACACTTATTTGACATTGTCAATTACTCAAGTGTAGTACTGATCATGTGTTTACGATAATACGTATGCCTTTAATACACTTATTTGTATCTCGCGCTTATTAAAGCTTGATCACCTAGTTGTTCTCTGAATCAGTGAACAGCCAAACTCTAATGCTCTATACTTTTGCCGAATGTTTTATTGTCTATCTGTCGTTTAATATTAGCACGTCAGAAATATACTTATTCTAGATACGATTGATATTCGACTTTCCTTATCTGTGTTGTATCAATGTGATTTATAAACAGAATGTACGCAACGTAAATAAAATATGCATCACATTAGCATCTATATGGCTCCACCAAAATAGCGCCAACAATGTGCACTAAAAGCATCATATTCTCGACTGTATATAATGTGATTGACTAAATCTAACGTGTATACGAGTGGATCCCGGGACAGTGGTCTAGAGGTCAGAATTTCACATGTGAGACGGAAGGTTCTGAGTTTGACTTTTCGTTCCATCTCAAACGTCCAGCTCAACTTCACTAAATAAAATATATCAAGCTTTTGTTAGTAATTATATTACTGTTTGTGACTATAAGCAATTTGAAGCTGATAAGAAGCTTCGAAATGACATTAAGCCATTTTATTCTTCAAATCTTGTCACCGTTGCTATGTTTGAAGATATTTTATTTGTAGACATGTTCTATTCTTTATTGACGAAGTTTAGTTTAGTCTTCAAAGCTTTAATTCTGGCCAAAAATGTTGATTCTTGTGTGCTAGAGTTAAAAAATTATTCATTTACACAAACAAAGATTAGTTTGGATAACGAAAGCATAAATTTTTGAATAAAGAAAATATTAAATTTAACCATAGATAAGAAAAATATTGATCAATAGTGGAATTCTGTGAATTGATACTCATCTAATAACACTATCTATTAAATAAGCCAATTAACGGGCTCGGCCAAATTGAATGTAAACAAACTTAAGTATAGGAAAAGTGATATAAGTATACATTGTAAGTGGAAAAATCAATTTTTGAACCGTAAAGATCACAGACTCCCGCTTAAAAAAACTATCCAGAATAAAAATAATTAGTCGATGATTTTCAACTTCTCAATGCATAATCCACTTGTTGAATCAAAAATATAAGTAGCACACATCAAACTATAACATACTAATCATATAAAATTTCAACTTATACTTTCTTTTTATATTCTAAGAGATGAAGATGATACCAATGATGATGAAAATACACCAACATCAATTCGTCCATTATCACAAGCTGAAATAATTAGTCGAGTTACACGTCAATTACAAAAATTGGAAGCGAAACACCATCCATCTATGAATACAAATAAAACTTACAGTCGTGTGTCATCACCTAATAGGCGACTAAAAATTCGTATGTAAATGAAAACGAATTCTTTTTTAAATAATAATAATCATAATCATAGAGTATCGACTAAGACATTACTTTTTGAAAAAATGTAATGATACCATCCCATTTTAAAGTAGGGAAAAAGTATGTATTGACATACATATTTGAAATACACACTGCATGATTGATCTTATAATCATGATTAATTTAATTGTTATAGATAAAAATATTAATATTATTGGATTAATTTCCTTTTTCTGTGATATAGATTTCGACGCATATTAACTTCACTTGGAGAACTGATGGAAACCAAGAAACATTAGGTAGTTATTTCACCATAGTTTAGCACTCCTTATCATTGTGTCACTTATGACCTCACCAAAGACTAAGTCCTTAGTTTCAAAAGTTGTCGTCTAACTACCAATTCGAAATTAATCAATAGTAGACACTTATTAAATTCGGTCAGTTCTAGATATAGTGTGTCACATTTACTGTCATTAATAATATCTGTCTCAAGTTCAACATAGTTGAAGTGCACTAGTCATTAATTAGCAGTGAAACGTCGGAAATCTACCTTAAAGTTAGCCCTTCAGTCAGTAACAACTTGGTAGAGGTAGTAAAAGTATAAGCAGTAATCGGAAAGATTAGGGTTCGAAGATGTTATTCAAGGAGTATAATACAGTGAAATAAATTTGGGAAGAGAAAAAAAAGACAAGGAGGATTCAGCAGGTTAGAATTTGGGAGAACACAAAGAGTGGATGCACCTGCGCCGTTGCAAACGATTTTGAGCAATGTCATTCAGGGTCTCTAACCATCGGTTGCTAACATCTCGCGGTCCCCAACCAGGTAGTCTACACCTACCAACATGACTCAGTCCACTTGTCAGTGACTTCATGGGTTTGTGCCACGTTTTGGTCTGGCCGCCCCTAGCTTTCTTCCAACCTACTCCTACACCAGAAAGCATCGCACGTCGGGGCAGTAGGTGGTTGGGCATACGTAACACGTGTCCCAGCCATCTCAACTGATGAAGTTTCACTACCTCATCAATTGATTTGCCATCCTTACCTAGTACCCGTTTCCTAACAACTGAGTTACTTACTCGGTGGTCCCATGATGTACGAGCAATACTTCGAAGACATCTATGATCGAACACTAGTAACCTACAAATATCCTCTGCTCTTACTGGCCATGTTTTTTACTGACGTAAAGTAGGACGGAACGAACTACTGCTCAGTAAACCTGTTCCTTGGTTGATAGACGGATATCTCGCCTACTCCATAAATGACGCAAGTTGGCAAAAGCTAGTCGAGCCTTCTGTATCCGTGCTGAGATTTCGTCACACACCAGACCACAAGGGCTGATGAGACTTCCAAGATAAGTGAAGCGATCGATACGCTCAATTACTTCACTCCCTATCATTAGTCCGGGCGTCAATGCAACCCAATCCTGAAGTAACATTTTACATTTCGAGAGGGAGAATCGCATCCCGAACATGCCTGCATTGTTGCTTATAGTGGTCAGAAGACTCTGCATTTTGTCAGCGTCTTCACTAAATAGAACTATGTCATCAGTATATTCTAAGTCAACAAGTGAATCTCCTGGTAGAAGTTCAACCCCTGAACATTTAGATGAGGAAAGTGTTATCTCTAAATGCACGTCAACGACAAATTTAAACAAGAATGGATAGACTGGACAGCTCTGACGAACACCACTTGAGGTAATCAATTCTGATGACAGTTCGCCATAAGCTCTCACTCGACCAATTGTGTTCGAGTAGAGAACCTTTACAAGGTTAATGTACTTCTTTGGTACTCCTTTCAGTGAAAAAACAGGTGGAATGAGTTTTCGAGCATCTATCAGTGCGGTAGATGCTGCTGAGATCGTGTCATTCCCTAACCTTACGGTTTACCGTACTAGCAGATATCACTGCTGTCTCCACAGTTTTTCGGATGTCATTTCACAATGCCTCGGGGTGGGCATCACATACATTGCTGCCTAACTGTTTTCCTAGTTGTTCCTGAAATATACTCTTAGCTTGACTATCACTGAGTAGGCTCGTAAGAGGTTTCCTGGTAGCGTCTTTCCTGCGTCCAGTAAGACGCAGGCAAATACGCGCTCGTACTAGAGCATGATCTGAATCTAAGCATGTGCTCCAGAATGAGTGACAGTCTTCTATCGAGTCCCTCCATCGGTGGCTGATAGCGATGTGATCTATTTGGGTCCAACGTTGGGACGAATTAGGGGGTCACCATGTTAAAAGATGTTTTTCCTTATGCTTAAAGTTAGTATTTGCAAGGAACAGGCGGTTATCTGGACATAGCTGCAACAGACGGTCGCCATTATCTGTCCTTTGAGCCACGATGCTATAAGATACACCCAGGTGTCTTTCCCTATCGCTTAGTTTACCTACTTGAGCACTAGAGTCATCTGCCAATATTACTACATCCGAGCGCCTAGCTTTTCGGAGAAGGTCGGAGAGCTTTCTGTAAAACTCATCTTTTACATCATCTGCGCTGCAGTCAGTGGGAAAATAGGCAAAGACGACGAAGAGGCAACGACGAGTGTCCCTATCTTTTCGGATCCTTACTGTTCCGTTCAGTCGGACAGTGCACAAACGACTGTCTACTGGGATCCACTCAAAGAGAGCTAGTTTTGCCCTAGGACTCAATGCTATACCTACGCCTGCGAGGCCATGGGGACCAGAATCAGGGCTTCCAGATACACGAAGTGTGTGTCGAGTCGGTCCTTTATTTTGGCATGGTGAGGTCAAATAAATGACGCTACTCGGATCCTGTATGCGCGTTTCGGAGACGCAGCACACATCGATGGCGCGGGATTCCGAAGTTCTAGCTTAGGAAGTCTGCTGTCCTATTTGGCACAGTGTTCGGACGTTAAAAGCTCCTACATGTGGTTTAGAGCGTGGTTTCAGGAGACCAGTAATAGCGTTCCGCGTACTCGAATCGTTTGCCCTAGCGGTGCGAGGTGAAAAAAGGACGTGAAAAGGGTTAGTCGGGGAGATAAGTGGTATTAAGAGGTGTAGGAAGGATTTGAATGTGACCAACTTGATCTCGTGTGCTGTTACGGGTATGAGGGCTAGTGTCACTTCCCGGCCGCCCACACCGTGGAATGGTATTTCTTGAGGGACCTGAAAAGAATTCGGATTAGTGTTGGTCTTGACGACCTGGGAGCGTGACCGCAGAGCCCAAAGGACAACTGCTTGAGGCCGGTCGCGCCACCCAGTGATCAATCAATTGTGATTACATCTCAGTCCTACGGGAGATTAGTCACAGCTCGGATAGCTCAGTGGTAACGTCTCTGACTGTGAAGCTGGGTGACACGAAATCGAGTCGGCCAGGGAGCACCAATCCCCTCAAGATTACAGGTACACCTTGCTGACATGTGCCAAGTAGCACGAAACCCGGGTCCAGGGTTTCTTGTTGACTACCTCCAACCAACATCTAAAGGTCAATAGAATTCATGGATTTCTTCGGAAACCCGGCGGAGCATTAATATGTGATCAACCAAAACACAAAGGTTCGGAACTAGGGTTTTGCTGTTTAAAAGCCTTAGTTGCGTATTGGATGAATATCAAGACCAATATTTTAGAGACTATTAAGTAAACTAGTTCTACTGTAGCCATCACAACCAGCGATCGAGACTAGTTAGTTAGGATAACATCTATATCCTAGACTCTAGCTAATATATCAACCAAACTTACTATTAAGACCGGGAGACCATCCTTAAAGATTTCCGGAAATGAACCACCAAGTTCAACTGGTCTGCCAAACTTTAAACTATCCATAGCTCGTACAACTTTAACAAAACAATGTCATTCTACATGAGTATCAATAACCGGTGATTGGTTTAACTCAGGTTCGTAGTTTTTGACAATATAAATTAAAGGTTTCCTGAAACTTCCAACATTTCAAAGTGTGAATATATAAGCAACTACTCCATATATCCTCTAACTACAATAGATCAGTTTAATAATTTAATCCATTTACAAATGTAGTAAAAAAACACGGGTTATGTTGTGGCCCTGTATCTGACTTCAGTTAGATCGATCCGCTGATTGCTATCGAAATATACATCCTGGCTACCCTCGTACATAACCAACGACTTAACTCGCGTTAGTGAACAACGAAACTAAAATAAACCAAACAAGAATGGATTTTAAATACGTATATTTCATACAATCGTTGATCTGAACGGACAATTAGGGAAACGAAGCGAAACGGATCGGAGAAAGCATGTGAGACAATTCGATTTAACCAAACGTGACTCAATATTTGTAGTCAGACAAAAATAAGTTATGGACATGTGATGAATAGAGTAGGCAATATACTCACACAGTCATAGAAAAAGTCAGGGTTAATAAGCGAATAAGTGACAAGGTCAAAATGTAGCTGGAGAAGAATGAATGAAATGGTCTGTCCATAAGCTAGAATAGTCTGGCTTGATACAGAACCAGTCACTACAGCGTATGACTTAGGGAGTAGTGATTTAGTGACTATAGTAATCGGCTTTTAATTAGTGGGTTGTGGGTTAGATACTTCCTCCATCTAATTTAACTTAGGCACCTAGGTAGACAAGAAAAGTTGCTAAAAACCGTGTATGACGAACCTGTGTTGAATGGATTTTTTGCAAAGTTAATTGTACTGAACTATAAGCCACATATTGAGTGAGGAATGATATTATTCAGCCTCAAAAACTTCTGTAGATAAATTGAATTTTAAAACTCAGCTCCATTAGTTGAATGTTGGCTAATATGATATTCAACCGAAACATTGCCACAAGCGTGTTTTGAAAATGAACAAGAAACAACTGTTAGGTTAACCGCATTAGTAGTAACTGTCGATATTTAAAGGGATTCCGGATAGAAACATAGAGGGACATGGGATTCACCTAGTTAGTTTAATATAACATAAACAAGAGCATCATATATTCTGAACAGTTTTACCCTCAAAATAACGTACAGATGAATAGATGATTAAATTTTAAAGTGAACATATAATATGAAATAAATGGGTGT